GACCAAGTACTGTATATAAGTAACTTTATTTTTACAGACAGTACACAAAAGGACATACACCCACAATGCACTACATTCATATATAAGCCCACTAGCAAGCACACACACACACACACACACACACACACACACACACAATTGTAATTCCATTTCTTGTACATATATAATTTTGGTAATTAAAAAAAAAAAAAAAATGCTTCAGTAAATTATGATGAGTGATGATGATGAGTCTTTTATTACACAAAATTGACTCTTGTGAGCTTTAAGGCATTTTATAATGTTGTTACCTCCTCAAAAACAGACCTGGAGTTGTGTTTTGTTTCATTTACACATGTCTGTGTCATCTCCAAAGCTCCAAATGCTCAGTTCCACCTTGTGATGTCATGAAGCAGTAGTTTTCAGTTACCTTTTGTTGGGTTGAAATTATCCAAATGATTCTAGTGAAAGTGTTTGTGTGTTGAACGTGTGAATGAAACAAAACAAAACAGGTTTGTTTGTGATGAAGAAACAACATAATAACACAGATTAGAAAATGGCGTACAGTAACATGAGCCCTGTAAATGGTTGTGTAGGCCTGGCTCTGTAATTGCAGTTACAGCAGTTTGTTGTGTACACTTTAGTTTTCATGTACTTGCGTAACCTGAGCGATTCTGTTCAATAGAAAAATCACACCTTTCACTGTAGTGCGTCATGGTGAGTCAGAAATAAAAGAGGAGTTAAAAAAGTTTCCATCTGATCAAAATTATGTCACAAGAGGAACCACAAAGAGAGGGGACACACAACCTCATTTCAGAAACCATTTATGTACATTTTCAAATAAACCAAAAGTGGAAATAAAGCAGAATGAAACACTTGTAACCCAAATTATATTAAAATTAAAGGTACAATTATACTGAACCAGGACTAAACCAGATCAAAACTAAGACTGAACCAAGACTCAGTGAATTTGAAGTATTGTTTTTAGTTATACACCGCAAAAACTAAAATCTAAGTCAAGTTAAGATGACTTGTATTAAGAAAATTTTATCATGATTTAAGTCATTTTCACGTGACAAAATGATCTTCCAGTGGAACGAGTCTTTTTGTATTTAAAATATGAAAACACATCTTGCTACACTTAAGAAAAATAACTCTTTACACTTAAAATAACTTATAAATGTTGACTGAATGAAGAAAAACACACTTGTTCCAGTGGTAGATCATTTTAATTTTCAAGTTGAATCTACTCAAATGAAGCCAAATGTTCCTCATTCATTCATTCATTCATTTACTTATTTATTTAAAGCAGACATACATTTTTAAATGCAAGATTATAGGTCAAAAACATGAATAACAAGACAGAAGACATAACGTGAAAGTTTTTAGACAAGACAAAAAAAATAAAATAATAATGATAGAAAATAAATAAACAACAATAATTACAACAAAACTTGAATATCTCGGGCAGATCATCACTGTGGACATGACAGATGATGATGATGTGTATAGACAGTGTAGGATGCTCTATGCTCAGGCAAATCCTCTTATGTGCAGGTTTGGTTCTTGTACAAATGATGTAAAGTTGTTCTTGTTTAAATCATATTGTACACTGTTGTACACAGCTCACCTCTGGAATAAAAACAAAAAAGTCAGTTTGCACAGACTGCAGGTGTCTACAGTGACACCTTGCTGTGCTTTTGAGGAGGTCATGATGGACAAGTGCGACTGAGATGTTTGTTTCTGCACAAGTGAAAACTCTGCAAACTGCACTAAGAACTTAATGTACAGTTTTATTTTCAGATTGAACAAATCAGACAATGACATAATAATGTCACTCACAAATATGAGATTCAATGCAATGGGGGGGATTAACGTAAGGGCACCCCCCTTTACTTTCTCTCTTCCCTTCAACATACCAAGAGACTTTAACTTCTTGGGTTTAACTTCTTGGGTAGTAGTAGTATAGTAGAAGTAGAATTAACTTCTTGGGTTCTTTTTAAAGACAATGCAGTAAAGTGTATTTACCTTGTTGACATGTTTCGGCTGCTAGCTGCAAGCATCTTCACCCCGACACGTCACCACCAACACCGGTGACAGTTCTGAAGATGCTTGCAGCTTGCAGCCGAAACATGTCAACAAGGTAAATACACTTTACTGCATTGTCTTTAAAAAGAACCCAAGAAGTTAATTCTACTACTACTACTATACTAATACTCAGTGTTGTGCAATTCACACTTTTCAAACTAGTTCAAAGTTCAGTTCACACTTGTTCAAAGTGAATAGTTCACGTTCATAGTTCACAATTTTAATTTGAACTAGTTCAAAGTTCAGTTCACTTTATATTTAGATGAGATCTGTAAATGAAAGGCTGCATTTATTTTTCAAACTGACTTGTTACAACAACTTTACAAGATACACTGTTGGACAAGTGACTTTAAAACTGTAATGTGTTATTTATGACTTGTTACTGTCATTTCAAAGTCATTTGTTACATTACAATATTACTGTATTTAAAATGTAAAACATTACACGACTATTGCAGCACTTTTAATTTACTCTCACCAAAAGAACTGTTAAGATGCTGAACTTTTGTGCCGTATATGGACTGAAGGACTAAACAGGACTAAACAAACTAACGGACTAAACCAGAACTGAACCAGGACTAAACCCAGGACTGAACAGGTCTAACCAGAACTGAACCAGGACTAAACCAGAACTGAACCAGGTCTAAACCAGGACTAAACAGTCTAAACCAGAACTGAAGCAGGACTAAACCAGGTCTAAACCAGAACTGAACCAGGACTAATCCTGGATTAGAACTTGGAATCTAGGACCGCCCCTGAGAGAACCCCGAGTGCGATCGGGCGTCAGCTGCGTTTATCTCGGTGGAGCGCGGACTTCTGCGTCAGTCCTTTCGCTCAGGATCACGGTCTACGCGGGCGAACCTCCGGCGTTTCACCGCTGCTGATATCGCGGTGATTTTAGCAAATTTGTATGAAGAAAAACGAAAAACCCACCATTTCAATCCAGGTTAAAAAAAGCATTGTGACGCGCGTTACTGACATATGTACCAAGTAAAAATAATACGCGCGCGGAGCAGCACGTCCTGTGCGTGTAGATTTCAGAAAATAGGATCCATCCTATTTTTTGACGCTCTACACGAGCGTAGGCGCGTATCCCCGTCAAAATACACAGAGAGCATGTATCTATTGTATTTGTGCATTTACCATCAGCACATTGTGCTCCCTGGGCAGTTGTGTATCATGTGAAAGAGCCCAGATCCACACAGACTGTTAATTAGTGCTTTGAAATTTACTTTTGAAATCCTTGCGTTTGCCGTGGTCAGCCTGTACAGAAGGTAAATACAAGCAGCTAAACGCGCCCAGTGAAGTTTGATTGACTTCCCATTGAGAGACACAAGAGCCTGTACGTTCCACTAAAGCTGCCGGTGGAGTCGCCTTCGCGTGGACACGCGGCTGTGGTTTCGCGAGGTGAAGTGCGAGCAGATCGTCACTCGTCAAATTCCTTTAACTGAACCCCAACAAGTGACGTACGTCGTTCATCACACATAATTTGAACAAATTCACGTTCAAGTTCTTGATTTACAAAAGTGTTGCGTTCAGTTCAAAGTTCACTGAAAAATGAACCTGTTCAATGAACGCGTTCTTTTGAACTCGTTCATGCACAACACTGCTAATACTAATACTACTACTAATACTACTGGTAGTACTACTACTACTACTACTACTAATACTACTGGTACTACTACTACTACTACTACTACTACTACTAATGCTAATACTAATACTAATACTAATACTAATACTAATACTAATACTACTAATAAATCCACAGTAACTCAAAAAAGGTGTGAAAAGATGTGAAAAGAAACTGACGTTGATGTTAAAACAGATGTTAAAATGTAGTACATTCTTTCTTCATGGAGTCCAAACCAGGCCAAGTCACAAGTCAGATCTGTGGAGAGGCAACCCCGCTCACAGTCAGAATGCCTGTTTCTCTAGGTGTAAGAAAGTTTAATGTCATATTGTGGAACATTCCAGGCAGAGCAATGACATATGTATCCATAGAAAAAAGTTATCAAAGTGCAATCTGAATGTGAATATTGTTTTTAGTTATAGCATAAAAAGTCTAACCCAATGTTAAAATGCTACAGAATCAGGACTAAACCAGGACAAAAGTGTAAAACGAAGCTGAAGTTCAGACAAGTTAAAGTATTGTTTTGAGTTCTATAAATATTTTAACTTGTCTCAAAATTAAACTAAAAAAAACAAACATCTTTCATCTGATCATAGTTAGGCCTGCATCACGGCTCTCTGGGGTTTCCCATCCTACATGTTATTGTCACCGAGTCTGAACTTTGGCTGTGTTGCGTGGGCGGTTCTGAGGCTCTGAAGAGGTGAGAGAAGAACTGTGATTTCCAACGTTACATATTCCTCAACTGCAAAGCGAAAGTGGTAATAGTTACATCATGCAAACTGACAAAAGGGTGACGTGAAAGCAGAAGAGAAGGTCAGATGAGGGCAGAGCAGGTAGAGGAGAGGGTCAGATGGAGCAGAAGAAGCAGAGGAGAAGGTTAGATGAAGCAGAGAAGGTCAAATGGAGCAGAGGAGGAAAAGGAGAGGGTCAGACGGAGCAGATGATGCAGACAGGGTCAAATGGAACAGATGAAGCAGAGAAGCGGGTCAGATGGAACAGAGGAGGAAAAGGAGAGGGTCAGATGGAGCAGAGGAGAGGGTCAGAGGAGCAGAAAATGCAGAGGAGAGGGTCAGATGGAGCAGATGATGCAGAGGAGAGGGTCAGATGGAACAGAGGAGGAAAAGGAGAGGGTCAGATGGAGCAGATGATTGAGGGGAGAAGGTCAGATGAAGTGAAAGAAGCAGAGGAGAGGAGATTGAGCAGAAGAGAAGGTCAGATAAAGAAGAAGATGCAAGAGAGGGTCAGATGGAGCAGAGGAGGAAAAGGAGAAGGTCAGATGAAGCATTAATATGAAAACACACACATTTATAGACAAGTAACTTTATTCCACACAACACGATGCCTCCCCTTTATACAAACAAAGTCATTTTTAACGGATCTTGTGCTGTCAACTGGCCGTGACACATTTACCGCAAGTGAGTGGAACTTTCGATTTTGGCCTGTTAAACCTGGAATACCTGATTTTCAAACAGTAAAACGAGGAAGGGATTTTTTTTTCCTCGCTCTCAGAAACCAGTTGCACATGTCAAGTATTCACACACATTTTGTCATATTCACAGTTATTTAACGACTTTTTCAGACAGCAAAGTGAAGCTTCCAAACGCACACACTCACTTACTTTTTTCTTTACCTTCTTTCTTTTTTGGATGCAAACAGTGTACAGAGGTTTGATTTTGTCACAAATTCAGCTTTTAAAAGACACTCTTTGGTAAAAAACAAACAAACAAACAAACAAAAAAACCCCAACCTGCCTTTAAAGTTCATGATGTGATCTAAAATACACACTGAAAACCAAAACGCCTCTACAACATTTTCATTCCAATCTAACAAAAATCAGGCTGCACAATATGAGAAGATGTGATTTTCGATAACTATGTTTAGTATTACGATAATGAGATTATTGCAACATTTTAACACAATCATTTGACACAACTGAATTTAAAACAAAACTGGGTAAAAAAAAAAAAAATGAAGATAAAACCAAGACCAACCAAGTGTAATGAGCTTAATAAGGAAAACCATGAATCATCTGCCGTTTGTCCATTTTACTTTCCAAAAACAGTACTGTATTTTTCAGACTATGAGTTGCACTTTTTTTCATGTTTTGGGTTTTCCCTGTGACGTATATATTAAAATGTTCACACTGACACGAGAGGGCGCACTAGGCTTGTGTGTCACTATTTGTTACTCCTATTCTGTACCACTGTTACTTTGCACTCTACTGCGCATGTCTGCTGCAAAAAGAGCCTCTGTCCTGCAGCTAATAGTGAAATATTCAGCCAAAAAAGGTAATCGAGCAGCAGAAAGAAAGTTTGGAGTGAGCGAGAAACTTGTGAGGCACTGGAGGAAAGCGGTGATGGAGAACACAGCTTCATGACAACTGGGAAGGTGCATCATGTAACTTTCCTGGAAGTCACTGGATGGATGGACAAAGTCTGGACTTCAGTGACATCGAAACCATCCTGTTGGGATTCAGAAAAGCCGGAATAATTGTAACTGGAACTGATGCTGAGTCTGACGACAGCGACACAGAAGAGGAATCAGTGCTCTGTTTACCTCCAGAGTTGTTCAGAAGTGACACTGAGGATGAAGAATTCAATGGATTTAGTGATTTGGAGTGAGATGGAGAGTTTGGTAAACTTGTTCTGTTCTGTTGTTTATGTTATAGTTTATCTGAAGAACTGTTCATATGTGATGTTAACAGTCTGTTGTTCTCTGTTCTATTGTTACTTACTAGAACTTGACTTTCAAGATGAAATGTTGGTTCCTGGTCTCTGATTTTATAAAATAAATTTCCTCTAAAAAGTATGAATTATAGTCCGGAGCAATTTATAGTCTGAAAAATACGGTACATGTCTGTAAAACTGAGAACTTTGTTGATTATTGCATTAGCTAATATTACAATTGATACTTTGTCATCAGCATTCCCTGAGGATGTGGTGCTAACTGTAGGCACTGCTCTGTCTGAAGCTCTGTTACTTAAATTAGACTTTAATCTGAGCTTTGTTTTAACACACCTGACCAGAAAGAACCATCTTAGCTGGAACTACACTACAGTGAGATGATTTTGTACTGTTAAAGAAGTCCTTTTTGAAAATGAGTCAAAAGCTTTTCAGTTAATCATTTTCACCTACAGTATTTTACTAGAAATCTTGAACATTTGTACTGATCACAGGTTCCTGAAAATGTACTAAAAAATGTAAATCCACGTTGTAGTTTTTCTTGAGTTTCAGACAATTTAAAACATCTTTGCTCATAAGTGCACTGAGTCATCATGGAAACTATTGAACATTCCGCCATAGACATACATGTAGAACACTCCCAACACTGCAAAGTATCAGTATTGACATTTCTACGAGATATTGCGCAGCCCTAAACATATACGGCACAAAAAAATAGCTGAGTCACAGTAAAAGAAAGTCTTCAAACTCCATATCTCCATAGTTCATCCGTCCACGCTCCCATTAGAGAAGCATACAGCTGTAATGAGGTTACTATTGAGTTGCTATAGTCCACTAACCATTTCCTCCTGCGCTGTTCTGTGCGTCTTCAAACTCACATTTCATCGATCGAATGTGGACGCTTCCTGTGGTAATGTTATAGTCTGTAAGTGATCCCAGGCTCCTTCTTCTTATAGAGGACGCAGCGAGGAAAGTGGGTAAAACTATTGTGTCCATGTTAGGTCAAACGCGTAGGTCAGAGTGTGGAGGGTCTGCCGTCAGGTCCCGCAGACGTCATGGCTCCCAAACTGAAGGAAAAGATTCAGAGGAGATGTAATTGGACACTAAGAGCAATCACATTATCCACTTATAATGAACCAACCAATTCATAATTTATGAACTTTCAAACTCTGAAATTTTACGATTTAACTGACCTTTACACGCTGATGTTTTTTTTGTCAAAATCTCTATAGAAAATCCTTGTATCATTTGTTCATTCATTGTTCAAAATAAAACCAAAAATAAGAAAATGAAAAAACAACAATTTTCTTCATTTATTATAGACCGGGACTGAGCCCGGGACTAAGCTCGGAACTGAGACCAGGACTAGACAGGGACTGAGACTGAGACTGGGACCTGACCAGGACCAGACCACGGCAGAGACCAGGACTGAGACCAGGACCAGACAGGGACTGAGCCCGGGACTAAGCTCGGGACTGAGACCAGGACTGAGACCGCTTTAGTCCTGGTTTAGTCCTGTTTAGTCCTGGTTTAGTACTGGTTCAGTTCTGGTTTAGTCCTGTTTTAGTTCTAGTTTAGACATGGTTTAGTCCTGGTTTAGTCCTGTTTAGTCCTGGTTTAGTACTGGTTCAGTTCTGGTTTAGTCCTGTTTTAGTTCTAGTTTAGATGTGGTTTAGTCCTGGTTTAGACCTGTTTTAGTCCTGTTTTAGTCCTAGTTCAGTTCTGGTTTAGTTCTGTTTTAGACCTGGTTTAGACCTGGTTTAGTCCTGGTTTAGTCCTGGTTTAGACCTGGTTTAGTCCTGGTTTAGTCTGTATGTGGTGCAAAAGTCCGGCATCGCAGTTTAAGTCACGTAAACGGGAAACAGTCGTTATCCGTTTTTTCCATTGTTCATTTAAACACAAAATCGAAAACTGAAAAAACAAATCATCATCTGTTTTTTTCATTTTGGTTTTGGAGACAAATAATAAAGAAAATAGTTACTGTTTTGTTTTCTTATTTTTGGTTTTATTTTGAAAAACGAAAGAATGAATAATACACAGATTACAGAATGTCTAAAATCCGAAATAGCCAATATGAGTTTAGAGGTTTGGCCATGTTTATAAAAAATAAAAACAGAATAAATATTATGAAATGTAGAATATCTGTTAAAGAGGTGGACTTTTGGAATAGTTGTACAGAAGAAATTGTGTATCACTCTCTTCCACTTTAAAAAAAGGTTTAAATGTTCTCTGGGCAGATACATGAATTACGATACTTATTTGTGCTATAGTACTTTGCTGTATTGTTACTATATTGTCTTTTGCTATCTTTATGAATATGAATGATGCTGAAGGCCACCACACACTACAGGATTTTTCGGTCTTAAACATTTTTTAAATGTATGAGAATTAAAATCTCCAATCACAAAGACTGCAGTGGGATCTGTCTGCAAACCACAGGATATAAAGCTCAGAGTGACCGCGTCAGCTGTTTCCTGTCTACAGTAAAACCACTCACTTTGAGACTCTTAAGTGTTCAAACGATCAGAGCAGTGCACTTCTAGTTTAGATACAAGTCAAACTGTATTATTATTTGTGAAATGTGGTGCAAAACCTCAGATACATGATTTTTAAAGCATAAAAGATTGGAGATAAAAGTGCACAGGAAGAAGAGTCACTATTGTTAATCTGCAGCTTCACCTCAGTCCATAAACAGACACACGTGAGGAACTACTCTCGCCATTTTACTTTCAAAGAACACCTCAAATTGCATTAATAGCACGGTTTTGTGGACTGGATGTCATTATTTGCAGTGGACTATTTCTATGGATAATATGGATGAGATGCTGCACTTTAAATTTATGACTGTATGAGAGGTGAGGAATAGTCTTCTCATTATTTTCGCTATATCCCGAGTTTGTATCTTGTGCCTCTGTGTCCGTCACTCCTCTGGCTGTTACTGTAGCCTTGCTGATGTTTGGTGGTCACGATCTGACAGTTACACCACACACATGAGTAGCACAGCAGCTTCAAAATCGCACACAAAGAAAAAAGTCAAGTTATGCATTCTCAAACTTGGGAGAAGAAATCGCAGCCAAAATCGGGCAAATTCTCCTGTAGTGTGTGGCGGCCTTTAGACACCAAAACCTTTCTGGTCTTTTTGCATGTTAAATATGACTTTCTTTCTTGAATAACATCAAGTTATTAATGTGACCCAAATAAACTAATCAATCATTCCATTTGTGGTTATAAAAAGTGTTCAAAATTTTCAGTTTAAATGCGCCTGACCTCTCGATGATGTTGTTGTTGCACTGTAGTTCTCGCACCAAAATCTCCATCTCATCCTTGAGCTGGTGCATCCTAAAACAGATGAAAAATTAGAAAAGCAAGTCTTATGTAGCTTCTATGGACACTCAAATTGATTCACATTGCACTGTAGCACATTCACTCTCTACACTTGTTGGTAGTGTAGCTCAAATTCAATTTACTTATTGACTCACCAACTGCTTTTCTGACCACAAGAAATCCTACACTATATATATATACTCAGGGAAGGAGGGTGAAGTGTCTTGCCCAGTGACACGACAACAACATTCACTACCTGCAGCTGAGACAGAACCACCAGACGTCCCATAATAATAGGTCTATTCTACCATCTAATTCATTCTACCTATAGACCTTTTCCCCAAAATGACACAGGAGAAAAGGTGCATTGCGTAACATTTCTGGTGTTGGGTATGCCTGTCTATTTGTCCCCATGGAGATGCTACTGCTTTGCTCAGATAATGTTATTATGACTTGTCTATCTCCATGGAGACAAATAGATAGCAGAAAAGTTACGCAACTTTAATTATAGACATGCTTCACGGTTCTACTGGCTCAAGCCTGCCCAAGCCATTTCCAGCAGTTAAATTGTGTATTAAAATGATACTGTCTACTCTTTTAGCAGGTGAGTGTTCAAAAACCAAGCTAGTTTTAATTTCATTTTGAATTAACAATTCATTTCCCTTTTTACGGGTAACATCGTATGTGCTGTTAGCCTGATTCATCAGCCAGTTTCACTTTGTAGAAACCGTCTGACCTCGCAGCATTAGAATTTGTTCGCTCGACAGTATGGAAGGTACTTTTTTATTTAACCAATCGTTGCTATTTGGTCGTGACGTATGTAATGCGCTGCTAACGGGGCTAACTGGTATATTAAGCTTTTCCCAAATCCCGTAGGAAGAAGGACAATAACGTCTTTTCCCCTTGATAAAATTCACCAAACATTCTCTTTATTGCGGCTTTAAATCCTCAATCTCAGAACTGTTGACAACACAGAATGTATGGCTTTTTGCTGATTGGCTGGTGCTTGGACTCGCACTTCCGGGGTTTTTGCGAACCGTCTAGTGTATTCTGATTCCTGACCTAGTCGCTGGAGAGAAATTAAATTGAGCGGAGGCACTAGGTGGTGCCACCCTGGCTAGGATAGAACTACCAGACATCCTGAAATAATATGCCCATTCTACCTAATATCTATCTAATTCATTCTATTTATAGACCTTTTTTCCAAACTGACATAGGAGAAAAGGTGCATTGTGTAACTTTTCTGGTTTTTGGGGTTTGCCCGTCTATTTGTCCCCATGAAGATGCTATTGCTTTGCTCAGATATGTTCTTATGACTTTCCTATCTCCATGGAGACAAATAGATAGCAGAAAAGTTGCACAACACACCTTTAAATATAGACCTGCTTCACGGTTCTACAACTAGCAGTTACTACGTGTATTAAAATGTTACTGTCTACTCTTTTAGCAGGTGAGTATTCAAAAACCAAGCTAGTTTTAATTTTATTTTGATTCATTCACTTTTTATGTGTAACATCGTATGTGGTGTTACAAACCTGGAAACCATTTGGTCCTTGTCTTTTGTTGCGATGCCAGTCAGATGCAAAGATTTATCTGAGTGGAGCGAAAAGATGGATCTATCTAAACTCTGTGAATAGAAAGAAATTAAGTATTAAAAGAATGTTGTGTGATGAATCATCTGTGGGTTTGTGAAAATGGACCTTGTACTGTTTCTTCTCAGACATCTCCAGATCGGCCAAAAGTCCAGAGGAGAACGAGTGGAAGTCCTGCAGACGGATCTGCATCTCCTGAAGTACGCTGAAGGAACAGTAGGGTAAAGGTACAGGGAAACTAAAAAAAACTTAAAGCTCATTGTCATTTATTTTTTTCAACTGTTTAAAGGTGCATTCTGTAACTTTTCTGGTGGAGGGCCTGTATTTTTTTTTTAAATACTTTTCTCCATGGAGATTTTTTGCTTTGTCTGGAATGTTTCACGACAGTATGGCATAAAATCTTCATGGAGACCAAACCAGACCAAGTTCCAAGTTAGATCTGTGGAAAGGGGACCCCGCTCACAGACTGAATGTATGTTTTTCTTTGTTTTTGTTTTTGTTTTGTTTTGGTTTTTTTTTTGTTGTTTTTTCTGTGGAACATTCCAGGCAGAGCAATGACATATCGGTAAAAAAGCAGTTGACAGACCCCCAACCAAAAAGTTACATAGTGCAACTTTAAGTATTCATATTGATACTTTGAAGTGACACAACACTGGGGGTGTTCTACATGTATGACTATGGTGGCATGTTCAGCAGTTCAGCACAGCGACATAATGCATTAGCACAGGTGTCCCCAACCAATGGGCTGGGGACCGGTACTGGGCCATGGGTCGTTTGGTACCGGGGCCGCGGAAAAAGCGTGAACCTCCCCTCCCATGCACCGTGTGGACCGTTCCCCCCTCCTGTACATCGTGTGGACCGTCTGACAGCCCCCCTCCCCTACACCGCGCAGACCGTCCTCCCTCCTGTACGCCGCATGGGCTGCACCACTAAACCAGAACTAAACCAGGTCTATACTAGGACTAAACCAGGTTTAAAACAGGTCTAAAAACAGGTCAAAAACAAGGTCTAAAACAGATCTAAAACCAGGACTAAAACAGGATTTAGCCAGGACTTAACCATGCTGCATGGACCGCACACCGTGCCTCCTCCCATACACCCTCCCCTCCAATGCCCTCTGGTCCGCGAAATATTGTCTGATATAAAACTGCTCCGTGGCGCAAAAAGGTTGGGGACCACTGCATTAGTAAACACGGCCAAAAAGTTTTAAGATTATCTAAAAATTTATGACTTGCACCTTTTTTGTTGAAAATGAAACTTCTAAACAGGACCATGAACGCTTGTATAGATCAAAGGTTTCTGAAAATATGCTGTTTAAATTCATTTTGTATTTTTTCTTGAGTTTTCAGACAATCTTAAAACTTCTTTGGGAGTGTTCGCTAATGTGTACACTGTGTCACCACGGTAACTGCTGAACATTCCATCATACAAATACACGCACAGCACCCCCAGCTTCCTAAACTATCTCTATCAGTCCTGAGGATCGCAGACGGCCTCACCTGCTCCATGTTTTTGTGGCCGCCTGCAGCTCCCTGTATTTCAGCACACAGTCTTCTCTGAACAGCACCTTCACTTTCTTTATGTTGGAGGCCAGTTGGATTCTGGGAAATCAGAGCCAAGCTGATTAAACAACAGCTATTACACTGGAGTACATCGGAGAAAACTTATACACAACACTCACTTTTCAAACTTGTGGATCTGCTCGTCGTTATATGGCAACTCTGTGGAATTAAATAAAGGAGATGAAGTAGTACTGCAATATGAAAACACTTGTACTACCATCAGATGCATCACTTGTGCTTAGTACTAGTAAATATTTTGTGTTTTATTCTGAAACTTACTTCCGATCATCCTGTCCTTTCTGTACTGTTGGTGGACAGTCACAATCTTCTGCAGCAGCATCTCCATTTTCTGAACACTGAAAAAGAAAAGGAGGAGAGAACGATGGAGGAGGGAGAGAGGAGAGATAGACAGGAATATAGAGAAAGAAAGAGAGGAGGGAGAGAGTGAAGGAGACAACATGGGCAGAGCGGTAGAGGAAAAAATAAAAAGAACTGTTAATACTTAGCCGTTTAATTATTTTAGATGTTATTTATTTTCATTTGTCCATATAGTTAGTTCTTGTACCTCTTGTCATTGTCCAGTATCTCTGAGTGTTTGGCCTGTTCGATCAGGAGATGGTCCAGTCTGTCCTGGAACTCCTGGATCCCAGACGAGTAAATGGGCAAGTGCTCATGGACCTAAAGATTAAGAAGACATAAAATAAAAGTCATCGAAATATTACAGCTTTTTACAGAAATGTACAACTATTACAACAAAGAGGAAAGTAATTCAACATTTTGATTGAGGTAACTCTAAAAACTGAGCAAGAAGGAAGTAGTAGTAGTGAAACCCACTTTTATTCTTTGACTTATAACACTGCGAGAATTGTGTGGTCCTTTGTGTCTTTAATTTTATTTATTTATTTAACTTATTTAGTAATATTTTATAATTTTAATGGTTTTGCTTTTATTAGATTTTACTGATTTTATTGTTTTAGGACTGGCATGACCACATTTTAGCAATTTACCTTTTTGTATTGTCTTCATTTTATGATCTCAGTCAGTGTTGGGAGTAACGTGTTATAAAAAGTAATAAATTACTGTAATCTATTGCTTTTTGCTGTAACGCAGTAATGTTACAGCATTACAGGGAAAAATCGCATTTTGTGGACACCCTGCTCCATGGGCCTGGGGTTCTCTCAGGGGAGGTCCTAGATTCCAAGTCCTAGTCCAAGATTAGTCCTGGTTTAGACCTGGTTTAGACCTGGCTTAGTCCTGGTTCAGTCCTGGTTCAGTTCTGGTTTAGTTCTGGTTTAGTCCACATATGGTGCAAAAGTTTGGCATTTTTGCTCGCTGATTGTTATTTGATGATCAGCGATGGTTATTTTGTTGAGAGTAACTTAAAGTACTTCAGTAGTCGTGTAATGTCTTTCATTTTAAATGCAGTAATATTATAATGTAACAAAATACTTTGAAATGACAGTAACAAGTCATAAATAACACATTACAGTTTTGAAGTAACTTGCCCAACTGTAGTAGTAAGACCCACTTTTATTCTCTGGCTTTTAACACTGCGAGAATTGTGTGGTCCTCTGTGTCTTTTATATTTTATTTATCTTACTTATTTATGGCTATTTTATGATTTTTAATGGTCTTGCTTTTATTTACTGGTTTTATTGTTTTAGGACTGGTATGACCGCATTTTAGCAATTTACCTTTTTGTTGTTTTCATTTTATGATCTCAGTGCAATACTTTGGAAACACTTTGTTTGTAAAATGTGCTATATAAATAAAGTGGATTTGGATTTAGATTTAGTAGTAGTAGTAATAGTAATAAAAGTACTCACACCATTTACCACTGGAACTCACCTGGTGAAGCTTTTGACTGGTGTCTGCAGAATCTACATTGAAGCCACTAAAAATAAAATAAATGAAGTCTTATAATAAATGCATAATCATCACGCTAAAACAATGAGGTCTGCCACCTGCTTGATTCTATGGAGATAATATTTTTACTGGGAATGTTCCACAGTATGGCATTAAAACTAAAGCTCCTATATTATACGGAACTTGTCTCTTGTGAGCTTTAAATCGTGTTAAAGTGTTGTTTCCTCCTAAAAAACAGACCTGGACTTGTGTTTCGTTTCATTCACACATTTGAGTAACTTTTTATTTTTATTCTGTCTGTTTGTGATGAGGAAACAACATTATAAATAACATAGATCAGAAAATATCATAATACAGGCCCTTTAACCACAGAAATATTCCTACATTATTGACAGCTGATACTCACAGTGCATGTATTCTTTGTTCGACGTTAAAACAGGATTGCAATCTTAAGGTGATCTTTGAAATACTGTACATGGCTTCTTTACACTCCCCTCGTAACTTCATTCTGAGGAAAATACAATTAAATACATTGAAGAAACAGTTAAAACAATGAAATCATGTTAATACTTAAGTGTTTTAGATTCTTACATATAGCAGTAATATCCTTGTAATAGCAGATCTCGATGTAAGTGCAGCATTTTCACTATTCGAAGATACTGATGAACAACTCCGACTATCACCTGAAGAAAGAAAGTGTTTTTGGACTTGTGGTTTATACGTTTATTTGTCCAAAGAGAAGATTTGAATAAGAGAATTACCTTTGTAAAAGTGTAGTCTGCAAAAACGTCAAATTTAGATGGGATGACTGGAGACTCAGCTATAGAACAAAAGACAAAAAGAATTCAAATTTCACTAGTTAAACTAATGCTCTCACTAATACAACTTACTGAACATTTTACAGTTAATGAATGAATACAATACACATTTTATTTTGACATTTTTCCAAATTTGAATGTTTTTGTGCATTGTTCTGTCCTCAATTCAAAATCACAAATTTCAGTTACTGTATTTTTTGGACTATAAGTCACTCTGGAGTATAAGTTGCACCAGAAAAAATGCATAATGAAGAAGAAAAAAACATATATACACCGGACTACAAGTCGCACTTTTTGGGGGAAATATATTTTATAAAAACAGAGACCAGGAACCGACATTTTATCTTGAAAGTCAAGTTCTAGTAAAAACAATAGAAGACAACAGACTGTTAACGTCACATATGAACAGTTCTTCAGATAAACTATAGCAGACAGAGCACATCTTCCTCTTCTGTGTAGCTGTCGTCAGACTCAGCATCAGTTCCAGCTAGAATTATTTTGGCCTTTCTGAATCCCGACAGGATGATTTCGGTGTCACTGAAGTCCAGGCTTTGTACATCCATTCATTCCATTGTTTTCATCCATGTTTGAATCAAATCCAAAGTGCGGAAATGTAATTTATTTATTTTTTTTTATGTTCAATTTTTTATGTATTCATAAGGTGGAGGCTTTAATATAAGCCCTTTTGGGTTTTTCGTTTCTTTCGGCACTTACTTTTTATCTAGTGTGTGTGTTTTTTATTGTTATGTTATACGTGCAAAATAAATAAATAAATAAAAATAAAATTCTGTGACTTCCAGGAAAGTTGCACGGTGCACCCTCCTGGTTGCCGTGAAGCTGGGTTCTCCATCCTCGCTTTCTGACTGTCCCTCATAAGTTTCTCGCTCACTCCAAACTTTCTTTCTGCTGCTCAATTACCGTTTTCGACTTGCAGCAGGACAGCGGCTCTTTCTGCAGGAGACATCCGCAGTAGAGGGCAATATGACAGTTTTACAGGAGTAGCAGATACTGACACACAAGCCTAGAGCCTCCTGCAGGTGTCAGTCTGAACATTTTAATATATAAGCCGCACTGGAGTATAAGTTGCAGGAAACACCCAAACCATGAAAAAAAAGTGCGACCTATAGTCCGACAAATATGGTAACTGTGAAAATATATTTACAGTATGAGGTTAAAGTCACTTCTACTTCTATGAATTAAAAGCACACTAACTTCTACACATCACATAAGCCATTTTTCAGTCATTTGCAATAAATTTACATCTGATGCCCTCCCAGATTCTGTTAGTATTTACGTCAGCACAAAATGTCTGTCTTATGCTCCCTTATGGCTGCACTGCTCTGAATAACATTTGAAACACGACTTTAGTTCTAATGTATGCCTTACGCTCTCTGAAGGGCAGGCTGGGGTTGCTGATGGGGCTGTAGCTGAGCAGCAGGAGGGGGCGCTGTGGGGACGTGTGGGGCAGATTGACCGCCTTCATGCTGCCCTCTAGCGGCAGCTCGTGTCCCAGGTGCAGTACGAGCTGCTGCTGAGGAGGTACTGCGGTCTGAGAGCTCAACTCCTCCAGGAACACAGACACTCTGCAGAGGGACACACGAGGTTAGAGGGTGACATTAGACATAAGTGAACTCCAACGGCTCTGATGCAGCTATTGAAAGTACAGAATATACTTAACATCAGCATCTTTCTCTCATTCACTTTCTATTAAATGTATCCTATCTTAGTGTTCATTTGCCCAAACTGTGAATATATTTGAAAATTTGTTAAAAAGTGTATTTCTTTTTGTTATAATAATGGACAATTCTTTGTAAACTTGAATAACTTGAATAAAATACTAAAGAAAAGACGTATACTAGCCATATACTAGCTCTCATATAAGATCAAGATCATTACAAAATTCAAAAAAGTCAAAATTTCAGTATCGATCCAAGTTCAAATGAGTATCTAGGTGGGGACTTGCAAGTCATGACTTGGACTCAAGTCAGACTTGAGTCACTATTTTTAGAACTTGAGACTTGAATTGATAAAATTAACTAAGACTTGGGACTCGACTTGGACTTGAAGGTCAGTGACTTGGGACTTAACTCAGACTTGAGCCCTGTGACTTGAGAAGACTTGAGAAGCACTTTTAAATCTGAATTCTTTCTATTCTGACCATAATGATTCACACTAAGATCTTGCACAGACATTTAAAAAGGAAAAAAAATACTAAATTAATATCTACATCTTTTATATACTCTATAAATACTCATATATAAATATACCATGACCTTTAAGTACAATTTATCTTAAAATTCATATAAATTGCAGACATCTAAGCTATATTTGGTACTTTGGTTTAAAGACTCGAAATGACTTGAAGCTCAAAACAGATGACTTGGACTTGACTTGGCCTTATGAGCCAGTGACTTGTGACTTGACTCGAATTTGAGGTCAAAGACTTGAGACTTACTTGAGACTTGCAAAACAAAGACTTGGTCCCACCTCTGAATCTACTTTTTAGTACTTTTAATATCAATTAGTATCTGCAATAATGTAATCTATATTTTTACATTATTCTTCAGATCTAGTGACGAAAATAATTTGGATAAGATTTGATCAAGGAGGCTTTTTAAAAACATCTCTATCAATCAAATGTTTGCAGCTCAAATCCTGCTCTTGACATAAACATCATCAATAGACCCACAGGTGCAATTCAAGCTCCCACAAATAAATGCTGCTGTTGTGTCCTTGGGCAACACACGTAACCCAGCTTGCCCCCAGTGTCCGTGTACACGAGTGTATGAATGTGTGTGAATGAGTGAGTGGTGATTTGAGTGACAGCACTACATAAAAATGTGATCGTGTGACCATATCTATGTATACAGCATTCACAGCTATGTTTACAGACGAAAGAACGTACAATTATTGAAATGAAAGACAGTGTGTGTGTGTCCGTACGTGCTGTAGTGGTGTATGTAGACGCAGTGTTCAGAGGCCTGCTGCAGACAGAACACATGCACGGGGAGTCTCTGGAGAATGTTTGTGGTTGCCGTGAAAAACTGATCAAACCCCCAGCACTTGTCCTGATCAGCCTCCAGGACTCCAGCCAGGACAGGGACCAGCTGCACCCTCAGACCCCTGCAGGGACACACAGTGGACATGTATTCACACACTGGTTTCAAGTTAAAGGGAAGACTAGCTCCACTACTTTGGATGGGTAATGGCCACTTGCAGATGCCTTATTTACTATGACTAATACATCATAAACAAGGGTACACATCTATACAGCACTATTTCAGGCATTTATAACCACTTTTGGGTTAATAGAAAATCCAACAAAAAATAGTGACATGTCAATACAAGAAAAAAGCCATATTGTCCAGTTTTAATATTGGCCCTAAACATGCATGTCTATTTATGGTGGGAGGAGCTGAACGTACTAAATGATAAACTGAGACAATAATATTTCATAATAGTAATATAAAAGAAAATACCGTATTTTTCAGACTATAAGTCACACTTTTTTCATGGTTTGGGTGTTTCCTGTGACTTATACTCCGGTGCAACTTATATGTTAAAATTTTCACACTGACAGCCACGAGAGGCTCTAGGCTTGTGTGCTCCTGTATCACTGTCACTTCACACTCTACAGCTCATGTCGGCTGCAGAAGAAAGAGAAAGAGCCACTGTCCTGTCTGGTATCATGTCAGTCGATCGCACCATTACTTCTGTATCACTGACAATTTAAAATTTAAACAAACATAAAGACAACGGAAACCATCCTGTCAAAGGTCGGAATAATTCTAACTGAAACTGATGCTGAGTCTGATGACAGCTACACAGAAGAGGAAGCGGCGCTCCTTTTACCTCCGGAGGTCACAGAGTTTGTCAGAAGTGACACCGAGGATGAAGAATTGAATGGATTTAGTGATTTGGAGTGAGATGGAGAGTTTGGTAAACTTGTTCTGTTCTGTTGTTTATTCTATAGTTATCTGAAGAACTGTTCATATGTGATGTTAACAGTCTGTTGTTCTCTGTTCTATTGTTATTACTAGAACTTGACTTTCAAGATGAAATGTTGGTTCCTGGTCTCAGATTTTATAAAATACATTTCCCCCCAAAAATGCACCTTATAGTCTGGTGCAACTTATAAATGTTTTTCTCTTCTTCATTATGCATTTTTTGGCTGGTGCGACTTATACTCTGGAGCGATTTATAGTCCGAAAAATACGATACTATGATTTAATGCTAAAATTCACATTCTATTGTCTATTGTTTTAAATTATGGTTTCAGAATTGGTATTGAATATCGAGTCTATTCTTTAGAATCGAAATCGAGTTTGACATTTTAGTATCAACAGTATTTAGTGTCAACAAGAGTGTAGAAAAACATGCATAAGCTATAAACATTTTTATCATTTCTCAGTGTGTCCACAAGAGGGCAACTAAATGTATTTATCTAGTTCACTGGGTACATTTAAATGAAGTGTTAGTAGTAACATCTATCAGACAATGATAAACTGTATAATGTGTTTATTGTGATAAATACAGCCTGTGTACTTGTAGTAGTGTTGTCACGATACTAAAATCTCAGACTCAAGAAAAAAATGAGGTCAGTACGGGAAAAAAAGCCATATTTCCCAGCCTTAATATTAGCCTTATACATGCACTTTCTGTTTATAACAGGAGGAAGTTAAATGAACCACTGATAAATTAAGACAATAGTATTTCATAACAGTGTCTCTGGTTCCTACTGTGAGAGTCTGCAGCTGTGGGGAAGCTGGTAGCTCCACTCGATGGGCCCTGCCTCCACCCGCTGCACTCCGGCTATGGCTCCTGTGGGCTTCTCTGTGGTGATTTTGTACCTGAAAACACATAATCATAAAGGAATTTGGTCTGCCAGTGCTTCATGTTAGTAACTAAAAGTATAAATCTTAATTACAAATTAAACTACATAAAAGATAATTATAATTTTTCCCTGCGTTATGTGCTGTATTCTTTTTGTGATATCAAAATTCAATTCAAAATTCAAATTAATTCATACATTTAGACTATTTGCTCCAGAAATGGCATGTGAAATGGAATAATTACTGGGCTGCAAGTAAATAGTCCAATGCCTGTTTCCTGTTTCTATTGGACGTTGATATTTTTAAATACATTTTTAACCAAAACTCAAAACGTCTATGTTAGAGCATATTCATGAAAGTGTATTATTCATAAAAATCTTAATCTTTGTAGCTCTTATTCATTTCATACTGATTAAATGGTCTATAGAAAATCATTCCAAACTATTTCACTTCCTCCTCACCAGTGTCTATACTAGTAAACAATTCTAGAAAAGTCTTTACTCTAGTCCGTTGTTGCTCTTACATGGTGGGCTTGTTTCTGCGTGGTCCTCCGTAGGGCATAAAGGGGAGGGTCCCGGTGGCCGCGTGGTAAAACGTCACCCCGATGCTCCACAGATCCACGTTCACGCCGTACGATTTCTGATGAGGCTTTCTGAGGACGGCGCGCTCGTACATGTCTGGGTGCTGCGTAGAATAGTGTTAAAAGTGTCAAAAATCTGATACTAATTGATACTAAAACTACTTTGAACAGGTATTGATACTGAGAAAAGTCATTCACAGGACAGAAGTACTGTGATAAAGAAACATGCATAAAATGAAAATATTTTTAGCATTTCTCATTGTATCCACCAGAGGGCAACTAAATGTTTTCATGCACATCACTGGGTACATTTACATGGCCAGAACAATTGGGTGTAATAAGGAATCCTAAAAATTATATATTATATATTTTTGGCACAAGGTAACATGCAAAAAAGAAACCTGATAATCCATCATATTTGACAGCATGTCTTAATCTGATAATTACCTTTGGAATTATCTCCTATTAAAATATGATGAGCTATTGCCAGTTGTCAAGCTGTTGTCAAGGTTGTGATATTAAAAGGTCTTATATTACACAGAATTGACTCTTGTGAGCTTTAAGTCATGTTAGAATGCTGTTAGAATGCACACATACTTGAGCATTTCTTAGTCTATATTGTGTACATCTCCAAAGCTCAAAATGCTCTGTTCCACCTTGTAATGTCATGAAGTGGTAGTTTTCAAGTTAACAGCTCCTTTTAATGTTTGTTCAGTAGAGACTGGCAATAATAATTTTAGTGAAGGTGTATGAAGTATTACACATGACAAACAGAATGTTTTTGGATGAACACAGCCTAAACATGCAGGGTTTGTGTGTGTGAATGAAACAAAACAAAACTCCAGGTCTGTTTTTGTTGAGGAAGCAACATTATAACACAGATCAGAAAATAGTGTAACATGGGCCCTTTAACAATATAATTATATCAACAACACAGATAGAGTCAAAGTCAAATAATATGGTCCCAGTCCCGGTCTCAGTTCTGGTCTGAGTCCCGGTCTGGTCCCAGTCTGGTCCCGGTTTCCTGATCACCCGACATCTGGGCCAGTCCCGACACTCTGGGTTCAGTTCTGGTTTAGTCCTGGTTCAGTTCTGGTTTAGTCCTGGTTTAGGACTGAGACCGGGACTGGACCCAGGCCCAGGACCAGGCCCAGGGAGTGAGACCAGGACTGAGACTAGGACTGAAACTGGTTTAAAACTGGTTTAGACCTGGCTTAGTCCTGGTTTAGTCTGGCATCACAGTTTAAGTCACGGAAATGGGAATTGTGACTATCCGTTTTTTTCCATTATTCATTTAAACACAAAATCAAAAAATGAAAAACCGAATCATTATCCATTTTTTCATTTTGGTTTTGGAGGCAAATAATGAAGAAAACAGTTGTTTTTTAATTTTCTTATTTTTGGTTTTATATTGAAAAACTAATGAACGAATGATACATGGATTCTATATTAGCTCTGATCCATTCACTGTTGACCCAATTAAGTGATCTTTTTCTTCAAATTTTTATCTAGTGTTGAACACTAAAACTAGTATTGACACTAGTTAAATTAGTATCAGGGAATCAATATTTTTGACAGGACTCACATGCAACATATTTTATGTAGAAGTCATCAAGCTTTCTGATTTGAGAATTTAAATTACCACCAGAATTATCAGTAGAATCAATATTGGATTTGTAAACAGTTTGCTTTAAATCAGACACTATATAATAACATATAAGAGCTTAAAATATGTCAAAATGAAGTGAAATACTAACAACAAGTAACAAGTACCAGACAATGATATACTGTATAATGTATTTATTGTGATGTTAGCTGGTGTACTTGTAGAAGGGCTGTCATGATACTAAAATTTCAGACTCAATACTTGATACTAAGGAATAGACTTGATCCTCAATACTGATTCTGATAGCATGATAATAATAAAAAACTCTTTATTTAGACCACATAATGTGATTTTCAACATTAAATCATAGTCCTTTTTTTTTTTTCTATTCCCATATGGTCTTATATCTCTGTAATCCCTCAGTGGTGAAGGTGAATATGACTTTTTTAGTATGATAGTATCTGCTCAGTTTCAGTAGTGCTTGGATAACCCTAACTTTTGATGTGTAGAGTTGATGACATGTGACAGGATGCAGTTGTTGGTCACAGATGTAGGTCAGATAAACTTCTCTCACCAGATATTCCTCTGTGCCGTAGATGGACATGAATTTCTCGTCGTCCTCCAGTTCTCGCGCGGCGCCGAAGTCGGTCAGTTTGTAAATGGAGCGTCCGTCCTCTCCCACCTGACGAATGATGTTCCCAGGTTTAATGTCCCTGTGCACCACGCCATTCTCACGCAGATGGTTCATGCCCTGCACTGAGAGATGGATGGAAAGATAGAAAAAAAGATATTAAAAACACATTTGAGTAAAAAAATAGATAAATAAAATACAAGCAAAAATTAAAGACATATCCCTATTATTTAGCTGTAGGTACTGCATACTTCCAAAGTGGTTTTAAACAACAAAAGTCATATTGGTGTTTTTTAAGATTTAAAGTGATGTCATATATACTAATACTAAAATAATAATACTCTCAGATGGGACAGATTTCGTTATAGATTATATTGTACTGCCATGAAATATCTAAAAAAAACTCACAAATATGTAATCTGATTAGTTATATTAATGACTAGACCTGTTATACCAAAAAACTGCATTTTAAGAATATTCATTTTAGCTGCTCCCTGTATTAAACAGTATTGGTCTAAAGAATGTAGTCATGTCATCTGAAACCCACCAGTACACTGAAGTGGACTCATTTTGTGATTGTCAGTGGTCATCACAGAAGGGTGGATGAATAATTCACAAAATTGTTTTAATTTATATTTTAAAATATTTGAAGGCTTTGGGGTTTACATATGAATGTGTAGGTAAGAAGAAAGATCTTTATCATCTTTGACTGTGTTTGTCCTCAAATGTAAAGCATCTTCCGGTATCTTGAAAAGCATTATAGCATATACAGTATGTCCTGGGCACCTCCCTCGGGAGGTGTTCCAGGCATGTCCCACTGGGAGGAGGCCCCGGAGGAAGACCCAGGACACGCTGGAGGGACTATGTCTCTTGGCTGGTCTGGGAACACCTTAGGGTTCCCCTGGAGGAGCTGGAGGAAATGTCTGGGGTGAAGGAAGTCTGGGAGTCCCTGCTTAGACTGCTGCCCCCGCGACCCAGCCCCGGATAAGCGGAAGAAAATGGATGGATGGATGCAGTATGTGTCATGAATTATAATTCAATGGCTCTAAAACATTTAACACCAACAACTATCACTGAAAAACTGTGACTTTCAGATTACCAACAAATATAAATGAAGTCTATAACAGGACGAAACCAGTCTAATCTAGCGCTGAACCAGGTCTAAAAGTGGACTACATGATTCCCACTGTAGTTCTGAACAAGAAATGATCCAAAGGAAGACACTCTAAATGAGGCAAACCATAAACTGAAGCGCTGTCCAAGCACCATCTGTATCAAATATAATGATACAGTAATATGATGCACTGACCTACACACTGCAGCACAGTGAGGAACTCTGCTTCAGCCAGACCAAAGGCGTTCTCTGGATCCTCCAGTAAACTCAGCAGACTACCTCCAGGACAATACTCCATCACCAGAACCTTCTGCTTGGACGGCAACTTTCAATACACAACAGGAAGATGTGGTTAATACAAACGCACATTTCAATAACAATGTAACTATATACAAATATCACTAGAGTTTGTTCTGTTCTATAGGCCACATTTAATACATTATAATGATACTTTGGATTTATCAGGAGCTTTTTTAAGACATCAAATGACATTGTTCTTTCACTCCACAGCTGGGGTTGGTCACATGGTTACTTCTGCAACCACCTCTGTCACAGTACTTAGAGTGTCTTATTGACCTTATTAAAGTCCCTTCACTTTTGACTCTAAATGCTACTAATTAAACTGTGCTTTCTTTGTAGTGGGAAGTGGAAATCCCATTAATTTCAATGAGGAACAAAAGAGAAGTTTTTCTGCTTAAGTATGATATACAGTAAGTTGATCAGTGTAAAATGTTCAGTGTTCAGACGTGCACCAACAAGTCACACAGCACTGATTCTCTGAGGGCCTCATTTTAAAGCCTATAGTCCTTATAGAACTGGATTACTGTTTGGAGCAGCAGCTGAATAGTCAGAGCTGTATTTTTATGTCAGACTTTGACATTTGTGTTGTGCTCTGTGCTGCCTTCCTCATCACGTGATACTTCTGAGTACAGTGCAGCCAGGAACACCACATCAATCTAATCAGACTGGAAACTGTCACAGTAGTTTACACCTGATGTGAGGCTACAAATCTGCACCAATGGCCCCAGACATACATATGTAAAGTGTGATATGTGATTGTGAAACATATTAAATAATGAAGAATAAACCATTAGAATCTTTGGTACCGCTCTGGTATATAAATTAACAAAAGAAGGCAACATTTCTCTCAATTTTCAAAACATTGCCAAACTTAATACCAGTTTATATGGAGGTTACAGGGGCACAAGCAATTCATATTTGACTCAATATAATATTTGGAGAAAAAAAAATAACTTTTTGGTTCTGCTGATAATAAAAATGTAATAAAGTATAATTAGTATTGCCTGTTTTTGTGCAAGATCATTTTAGACTATAGGGCGTCACCATAGTCTCCTCTATTCATGAGAAACATCTACAAAGTCATCAAATATCAATGCAGAACAGGATACCGCCAGTTATTTTTCATCTTTCTACCCTATGGTGTGGTGTGTGCAGACTGCGGTGAATCTGGTAACATCGTAGTCTTCGGCTCTATCATTTTCCACCCTCCATTTTGATCTCTTCTTCCGTTTCGACCTACCTCCTCCACGGCGTGCAGTCTGATGATGTTGTTGTGGTTGAGTTTCCGGAGCATTTCAAACTCTCTCATCTGGACCTCGTGTGGGCGATTATAACTGACCACATTAAACACTTTCACCGCCACCAGCTCCCCGGTCCGCTGAACACATAGGAAAGTTTCCAAATAGTTTAATATCCACGACTATAAGCAAAAAGTACATCCATATACACAATTTGAAGATACACAAGTAGGCCTGTCATGATAATTACTATATTGACTTGTAAATGACAGAAGGAACAATACTTTTTGGTATTTATTGTAGGGACTTTTTCATTGCACTAGGGAAAAATGTGGTTCTTTTTCTCTACTACAACACAGACAACAATTTGATCTGTGTAGAGGACTGAAATATGAACTATGACTCATTATAGATACAAACAAACTACTCAAGTTCAGCATACGTTATGTACTGCAGTTTGTGTTTTTTTAACAGTATTATACATTTAGAATACTTTTTTGTGGTTGATTCTGCTTTATAGTTTGGTTTCAGTATTATCATTTATCATGTATATTTATTTCAACAACGTATCTTACTTAATGTGCAATGGTGACAGGCTTATACACAAGTGTAAGTGGCCTTCAATGAGAACTTTAAATTAAAGGAACAGTTTGGAATTTTGGACATAGGGCCTCATTTCCTAGTGAGCCAAAGTGCTGGAGACGTGTGGAGACACTTTCTAAAATAATCCATCCAGTCCTTGTTTTTGCAGAGGTCGCTGGTGCTAGGCTAGTGCATGTCAATGGCCATAGTTATCCTGCCACTAAAAACAGTCTTACCCACTCCACAAAACACCCAAAGCAAAACAAATACAAGGCCAGACTATCGATGTAAATGTCTGTGTTTATAGAATAATGTTTGAAATAAAACTAACCTTGCGTTGCATGTTAAGGGACTATTTTCTCATATAGCAGTCCGCCTCTGCCAAGCTTTCTATCAGGAACTACAACTCACTGCTGCTGCTCAGCCATAAATCCTTCAAATGCAAGGTTGGTTTTACTTCTAAAATTATTCTATCAACACAGACATTCACATGGACAGTCTGGTGTAATAATAGATTTGCTTCAGGTGTTTTGTGGAGTGGGTAAGACTGTTTTTAGTGGCAGGATAACTATGGCCATTGACATACACTAGCCTAGCACCAGCGACCGCTGCAAATACAAGGACTGGCTGGAATATTTAAAAAAGTGTCTCTGCACGTCTCCAACACTCTGACTCACTAGGAAATGAGGCCCTATGTCCAAAATTCCGAACTGTCCCTTTAAATATAATATAATAGGGCTGTAACTAACGATTATTATCAGTTGATATGCTGACTAGTTAAATGATAATTTCTGTACACTGAGATATAATTATATTTTAAGCAAATAAAGGTTGAAACATAGTCCAGAAGATAATGATAAGACTTATCAATATATGACTATTTTAATATTTGACGAGTCACAATGATTCGGAGTAACATATTATTAGTATGTTAGAACTACTGATACTACAACAACTGCTATTACTACTACAACTGCTACTGCTGTTACCATTACTACTACTGCTGTTGCTGCTACTACTTATAGCACACTATTAGTATTAAACTGTTACTACTATGGATACTACTGTGACTAACTACAACTATTATTAATGCTGCTACTGCTAACTCAACCATTAAAACTACTACTACCACTACTACTACTACAAATACTCATGCAATTTCTTACAAGTATTATGACTACTACATCATGTTTGTCTCGCCTCAAATGATGTACTGGTGTCAGCAGTTACATGCACACTCAAAATCAGAGTATGAAGATGAAGACCATGAACTTAGCTCCATTTCAGTGTAGACTACAAGAAGAAATAACAGTTCTAAGCACTTTTAAGTCCTAGGTCTTTGGATTAAGTCTTGTCAAGGCATTTCAAAGGAAAAAGTAGTATATTAACAGTTTAGTTAACCTCCACAAAATATCGCAATAAATATCATACCGCGAGGTTCATACCGTGACAATATCGTATCGTGAGACTTGGACATCGTTACACCCCCACCAATGACATTAAACAGCAAAGGCAACTGATTTATTTCGGATCACGGTCCGAAGTCATTTAAAGAATCCTAAATGCTCAGATATCAAATAATAATTAGATTTTGGTGTACATGTGAACAAAGCCAGTGATTTAACCGTTATCCTTATTGCATTAATAAAATAATGAAAGGTTGCCCAATAGACTGTAAAAAGACGTGGACTAAGAGAGTGTGACATCACCCATAGCGTTTGGCTCCAGTCAAATGAAGCTCACAAAGCTAGCAGTTGTAGGAGAGAATTTGGAGCCAGTTTCATATTAGGAATGGAAGTATTTATGGATAAAAACCACCAGGATCTTGCAGAGCAAGTTAATACGAACATTTTAAGACCAAAATGACAAGGCTCACAGCAGCAGTTACAGAGAGAGGAGTGACAATTTTTCAATGTAAAGTCAACTGGAGCCAGAATCGATGGAGAGTATGTCGATTTATATATACAGTCTATTGGTTGGACTTAGTAAAATGTCCAATAATGAGCAGAAACAGAGTGAGTATTTGTAGTACACCGTAGTTATTTGCAGTATTACCTTGTTGCGAGCCTTATAGACGCTGGCCGTAGCTCCCTGCCCGAGTATGTCCTGTAGTGACCACAGGTAGTTGACTGTACTCGCCGTCATCACCGCCATCTTTGAAGCAGCGATTCAACACACTGAAACAATGCAAAAAAAACAAAACATGAGTAAATAGATAGGGATGCAATAATTCTTAAATCAGAATGAGAAAAATAAACAAAATCTGATTTTTTTTCTAAACAACAATTCACTTTATCTGTATATATTCTCACTATAGAAGAAAAGTCTAGGGCTGTGCAATTAGTAAAATTTGAATTGAGTTTTATTCATTTCCAATTGTCAGTGATCAGAAAATTAAAGGTGCAATGTGTAACTTTTCTGGTGGAGAGTCCATCAAATGCTTTTCTCCATGGAGATGTTATTGCTTCGTCTGGAAAGTTTTAAGGTATGGTCTTAAACCTTTCTTTCATCACGGAGACCAAACCAGACCAAGTTACAGGTCAGATCTGTGGAGAGAATGACATCTCCATAGTAACACGAAGGCAATAGATATGAAGATAAATATGTTGTAAAATGGGAGAGCGTGTAAACTTGATTTGAGAACTTGTAGAATATAATGTGAGAATGTGTAGAACAAAACTTTGATTTTGTAATTGCCTATTTTCACCGTGACTGTATATTCAGCACACACGTATATGAAAATAGGCAATTACACATTAAAAGTTTTGTTCTACACATTCTCACATTATATTCTATGAGTTCTCAAGTCAAGTCTCTCCCATTTAGCAACATGTTTACCTTTATAGATAGACTCCCAACCAAAAAGTTACACAGTGCACCTTTAAGACTGAATGCAATTTTTGTGTTATTTTAAATTAGATCAAACAAATTAAATCTGAAAATAGTGAGACAAAAGTGATTATTTTTGTCATACTGCCTAGTCCTAACTATAATCCTTAATGAATGGAGTTTTATAATGGATTACACAGTAGTTCTTACACAGTAACTCCACTGTTTAGTCTTTCTATATTATAATTTTACTGTTTGCTAAGTCTGTCAACATATTTTGCTTCTCAAACTGTAGGCTACACTGAATTTGCATACTGACATGGCTCGTGTCTGATAAGCCTCCCCCAGTGTAAACACGAGGAAGTATTTCACGTGTATTACTGAAGTAGGCTATCTTATATCTATATAACTGGCCATACAACGTGAAGGACACCACCATTGTAGGAAAATGTCACTATAGTTTGTTTTATAACTAACGACAGCAGCTTTGATCAAGTTAGCACAAGGTTAACGCGTTTAAACATGCCCAAATGTGTTTATATTGTTTACATTTTATCCTGACACTTGGCAAAAGTGGTCTAAGAAGTTACTAACGTGTATATAGCTGGTCCTATCCCTAATAATTAACCAGATCAACTTGAAAATCGTATTATTTTCAGCAAAACTACTCATTTAAGCTTCAAACCCCCGCAGCGCACAGTCTCACCTGTGATGGCGGCTCCACACGGACAGACAGGTAGAGCGCACGTCGCAGCCGCAGGTGAGTGCTGATCTCCGGGGGGATTTTCTGGAGCACAGCCGGGAGTTGGAGGATCATTCGCGGCGTGCTGTTTGGGAAGTGTTGCTCTTTCTTTTTTCTACGCCCCTAATCTGACGAGAAAGGCGGAAATACGTGTAGGCTGCGTGTGTTTTCCGGTGCATGCACAGACTTTGACGCACAAGACGTAAAAGCCACCCCCGTCACGTTCTGGCGCGTACTGATAATGTCCATGATAATATCGATGTTTTTGGCCAGTGAGGTTCAATTGTTTCCTTTTCATCAATGAGAACACAACTGAACGAAGTTTCCCACCAGAGCACATGTTTCATATTGAGATAGAAGATGCATTTTTACTTAAAAGAAGTTTGTACTGTCACCATGTTTTCTTGCATTGTTTATGATTTTTTTTCAAGCTTTTGATCACTGAAATGTACTGCTGAAATTCACCCCAAAACATAAAAGTTTAGTTCAACAGAAAGTGTCCTTAAATAGGTAATGCTTAATATGGCAAATCAGGTTGATAAACAACAAAGGAATATATGATGTTATTACATGAACTAAAATATCCTCCAAAACTGAAATTCTCTAATCGAAAACAGACTGGGAATAAACAGGTTCTTCAAACAGGGAATAATGACAGATTCAGATTCAGATTTTCAGATAGAGTACTTGAGTGGTCAACAATCTAGCAAAGACTGAATGAACAGAGGGGGGATATATAGAACAGAGGGAGGGTATAGAGCAGGGGTCTCCAGCCTTTTTTCTCCCTTGAGCTACTTTTTGTAATACGGAAATGTCAGAGAGCTACTCATTTTAGGGGTTGCCAGAAATGGAGATGCTGTACAGTTAGACGTCTATAAAATATAAACCATTATCAAGTAATCAGTGGAGAAAATTAGGCATCAAAATGATACATTTACACTGGAAATATGCATTTAATGAATCAAATTTGAGTTATCCTGTACAATATGTATAATACAGAAATCCCTTGATGAGCTACTTGGAAGGGGGTGGAGAGCTACAGGTTGGAGATCCCTGATATAGAGACAATCCTGGAATGATAAGGGAATGAGTGGCAGCTGTAGAAAAAACAGGGAGGTAGAAAAAAAAAGGACCGAACAGACTGGGAAATAGAGCTGGACTGGGGAAACACATGTAAACAAAAGGCAGAACTGTGACACGTACTGTTGGAGTGTTTCTCATACACCAGCATGTAAACTACTTTCAGTTGCGTGCTAGAATGGGAAATGTGGATTGTTTCGGATTATGTAATGAGCAGTTGAGGTCAGATCTCAGAGGTTAAGCAACACTGTGGGGGCCTGGTTAGTACTTGGATGGGAAACCATTAGGAATACCAGGTGCCACAGAGGGGAAGCTGTGGCTCTTCTGCATACTGCTGTGTCCTTTGGCACACTTTGCCCACATTGTGAATTATGAAAATGGTGTGTGAGTGTTGGTGGTGGTCGGAGGGGCCTGGCTGGTGCAGATTGTTAGTCTCACTTCATAAATAATGCATGAAATTGTTAAACGCCTGTGAGCATCTGGAAAAGTACTATACAAGACTAAGGCATTCAGTTAGCAGAGGAGAGCCCAAGTTGTTGTTTTGCGAGTCTCAAGTCTCAAGTATTAAGTCAAGTCCCATGTCAAATACAGGCAAGTCCAAGTTGAGCCTTGAGTCACTAGCTCATAAATCCAAGTCAAGTCCTAGTCATCTGCTTTGAGCTTCATGTCATTTAAAGTCTTTAAACCAAGCTTAGATTTTTGCAATTTATATGAACTTTAAACTAAATTGTTTTTAAAAAGTAATGGTATATTTATATATGAGTATTTATATAAGAGTTGTAGAAATGCTAATTTTTACTTTTTAAATGTCTTGACAAAATCTTAGTGTGAATCATTATGGTCAAAACAAAATTCAGATTTAAAAGTGCTTAACAACAGTTATTTTGTCATGTGTCTGCACTGAAAAGGAAGAATCACATTCTATGTAGTTCCCTCAATGTAGTTTGGCTGTGATGTACTATATAGTACTACAGTACATTTGAGGATACCATCTCAGTGCTTCAGTTACATCCAAAGTAACAAACAGAGAAGTGGGAGAGACATGTTCCAGTTTGTTCCTTTAAAATTCAGCACCGCATTTATCAACTGCAAAGAGAAAAATATTTTCTAAAAACATATACTTTTTTTTAGGAGATGCATCAAGTCTTCTCAAGTCACAGGCCTCGAGTCCAAGTCAAGTTCCAAGTCATTGACCTTCAAGTCTTAGTCCATATTATCAAGTCAAGTCTCAAGTCCTAAAAACAGTGACTCAATTCTGACTCATGTCCAAGTCGTGACTTGCAAGTCCTACCTCTGTCAATTAGTGTAGATGGAAATGAAGTTACTTCCTCATAATCTGGTACATTCCCTTTAAAGCTGCACTGTGTAACTTTGTTGCTTCTTGCTTGGGTTTGCTTGGGTTTAAGGCAGGGATGGACAAACTTTTTGTAAAATATTAATAGTTTTCGAGATAATCACTAATTTTAACAGTTCCTTTCTCTTAAAATTCTAATTGGAACGAAACAAATTTCCATTTATTGTTTTTCTGGTGATACACAACACACTGATCTACAGTCACACAACTAACATATACAAAAGTCATGAAAAATGATATTTTGGTTCCACAGTAGTAAACACAGACATTCTCATGTGTGACCAATATCACACAAATGTTCATGGGCCTGTACAGATACACACATTGCATTGTGGATATAACGATCATGTAATATGGGCTGTGCTCCTCATAAGCTGCTTCTGTGGTGATGAACTGACCCACCGATGCCTCATGGGGACCAGGTTGCTCTCTCTGATTGTAATGATTTTCAACAAGCGCAAAGCATTACAACAAAATCTGTCTTTCAAGTCCCATGGTATTTACTATTTATTGAAATGACTTTTAAAACACTGAAAATTATTATTACTCAAGTTTGGCGAGCCAGATTAAAAATATTAAAGGGTCCCATACAGCCCCCGAGCCGTAGTTTGCCCACCCCTGGTCTAAGGAGATAGATAAAAGCATGATTTCATTAGTAATAGAAATTAAAGATTGAACTAGTATATCTAGAGTGGTGGAGTGCCAAAAAGAATAAATAAAAACATGTAAACAATATATTTTAACAAAGCATTCAGTCATTTTTATAGCAAGCAATGTTTATTAAAAAAAACAGATTTACTACAAGAACTACACATAGAATTATATAAGGCCTATTTGATTAAACCACTATTGCTATTACTGTACATTAATATTGTACCAAAAAAGAGAAGAAAACAGAAAATGTACCTCTGAAATGTACAAGTGTGTATATACAAAGTACATCTGACACAGGATTTTCCAGAAATACAGATAAAACTATAAATAGATTTAACATTACAGTCTCTTTTTTAGTTTTAATTTCCACCGGACACGACAAATGCATATATCACAATATTCAGATCATCCGCACACAGTTTGCACACAGGCCAAAGGTTGTTCAAGTGCACAATGATTGAGATGGAGAAACTTCTATGCACAGAATCTGGCATTTAGAAAAAAAATATATTGTACATTTTTAGAAAGAAACTGGCGTTAGGAATGCATTTTGTGCTCTAGAAAATAGAAACTATAAGGAAAAGTTCAATGTGGTTTGACTGGAAATTCGTTGTTTTTTTAAGAAAGTGTCATTTCAAGGGGCGGGGCAAATCAGGATATTAACTATTTAAAATTCCCTCTTTGGCATTTTGTATGAGGGATGGATGACTAATAAAAGGAAACAGGAAAATTCAAGTTGGTTAATGCAAGAAAGCTCAACAGTCTCGCCCACGTCGAAGTTTGCTCTAGTTCAGGAAGTAAATTTTCCATAAATCGTTTTCCCAAGATTCAATTATTACACCAGCTACGTTGAAGATAATATCCTAAGATACTTTTAAACCTAAATTTGGTCCTAGTTCAGTCCATATGCGGTGCAAAAGTCCGGCATCTCGATTGTTGTTCTTCTGCTCCATAAACAATGCCTGTGAAGTGATGACGGATTTTAGACAGTCGAGTTGCGTCTGTGAATTCGTATTGGTACTGAAGAAAGCTTAATCTTAAATTTTCATTTAACTAACTTAATTTTTATACTTTAAACTTAAATTAACTTTTCAATTTGTATTCTGATGGATAAAATACACACAATGCATTTTGTGTACGACTGGACTCATTCGAGAGTTTACGAATATTTACTTTATGATCAACTATAGCCGAATATGCACAGAGTTCTTAGCCTGATTCATCAGCCAGTTTCACTTCGTGGAAACCGTCTGACCTCTCAGCATTAGAATTTGTTCGCTTGACGGTAGGCGGGTACTTTTTTTCATTTAATCAATCGCTGCTATTTGGTCGTGACGTATGTAATGCACCAAATCCTGTAGGAAGAAGGACAATAACGTCTTTCTCCTTGATAAAATTTACCAAACATTCTCTTTGTTGTGGCTTTTATCTCGATCTCGGGAATCGTTGCCAACACAGAATGTATGGCTCTTCGTTGATTGGCTGGTGCCCGAACTCGCACCAGCCAATCAGCAGTTCACAAAAAAGTCTAGTGTATTCTGATTCCTGATCTAGTCGCTGGAGAGAAATTAAATCTAGTGGACACACTAGGTGGCGCCAGCCTGACTACGGATATCTACACACGAATATTTCTGAAAACTTTCTTCCTCCATATTATTGCTTTGTCTGAAATGTTCCACAGTATGGTGTTAAACCTTTCTATCATCTTTGTGAGCAAAAAAAAAAAAAAAAAAGACTAAGTTACAGGTCAGATCTATGGAGAGGCGACCCCGCTCACAGTCAGAATGCCTGTTTTTCTCAGCATTTTTGAGATATGAAAACATTTGTAATGGAATAAATGTAAGGTTGAGCTGTTTTATGTCATACTGTGGGACATTCCAGAAAGAGCAATGACATAACCATAGAAACAAGAAGGTGACTGACCCCCATCCAAAAAGTTACATAGTGCACCTTTAGCACATAGCGCTTTCAAACTCCTACATAATTATATTTTTTGTTAAAATCTACGGGAAAAAAATTATGGGAAATTTATCTCGGAAACCAAGAGGTGGGTGTCACTATTGAGCTCCATTCGAACTACATACAACCAGCCAATCACAGAAAAGTTGCATAAACCCCGCCCCCTTTTTGATACATGATTCTGATTGGTCATGAGTGTGGTTATACAGGCTAATACTTAATACTTATTTAACAATGATAAAAACAAAACAAAAAAAAAGGCCTCATTCCATTTTTGGCAAACGCTAAAAATGTGAATTAATACTATTGATAAAGTGGAGATTTTTCTAGTAAATTCAAAAGCTACAATTGAGCAAGCTACAATGCGTTTTGGTCTTTTCAAAATAAAGCTGGTTTGCAATTGCAGTGACAAAGATAGACCCTTTCAAAGTAAATGCACAAATGATTTTCTGGATTTTCTGTCAAGTACGGCAACTGCGATTTGATTTTTCATTTTATGTTTTCAAACCGGGAATCAGTTCACAGTGCACATTTTAACAACATACAGGAGTGAGACTGAAATCCCGAAAAATAACGTCAGATTCGCATGCATTTCGGAATTTCCACAGGTCTAAACTCCAGGGTTATCCGGGTTAATAGGTGACTACATGACCACAGTGTCAAGAAACGATCACCCAGGCGTGGAACTGCAGTTGTTAAGAAAATGTTTAAGCCAAAATGCGGATACTTTGCAGCTGATGTCATCATCGTTCCCTGGGGGTGTGATTCTAACTGGAGGCAATGCTCTGTCTGATGATTTATTTTAGTACAATCTGATCAGAATGAGTTGCTTAAGTGGAACAGGTGAGCTGATTTATGCTCTTAAAGAAAAATACCAGTCACAAACTAGCCTTTTAGTTGAAAATCAAACTCCTAAACAGGACAATGAACGCTTGGACTGATCACAGGCTCCTGAAAATGAGTCGTTTAAATCCATTTGGTACTTTTTTCTTGAGTTTATAGATGCTTTTTGACAGTGTTTGCTAATGTGGGCACTATAACCATGTTTTTTTTTTGTGTGTTCTGATACCGGAGTGGGTTAAAAAGAGTCTTACTTCTTCTCACTCCATTTCGAGCAACAATCTTGCGCTGTCTGACGATTTATTTTAGTACAATCTGATCAAAAAGAGTTGCTTAGGTGATCTGATTTATGCTCTTGAACAAAAATGACAGTCGCAAACTAGCCTTTTTGTTGAAAATCAAACACCTAAACAGGACCATGAATGTTCAGACTGATCACAGCTCCTGGAAATGTGTTTAAAAGTTTATAGACGCTTTTTGACGGTGTTCGCTAATGTGGGCACTGTAACCATAGTGTTTTAGTCTTACTTCTTCTCACTCCATTTCGAGCAACAATCTTCATTCGTCTGAGACAATCTTAGGCCTCATCCACACTAGTATATATTCAAGTTGTTTTCGTTGCGGATGCAGTGTTCGTCCACACTAATCCGATGGAAAATGGCTCCAGAGACGGAAGGATCTGGTGCTGCCAGCTCCCATGAATTCATTTGATCTGATCTGGCACTGTGAGGACGCCTGAAAACGCTGACGTAGGTCTATGCGCCGCGCAAGTAATTCACTGCCAAAACGCTAAGAGGCTAGAATATATGTCCATTCATATATACAGTCTGTGCGTACGACCTGCAGACGTATAATCTCTGAAAAGTTTAATATGAACCATCTCCAACAAGATAGAAGCACAGAACAGACTCACCATCAGCAGAACACCCCTCTGTCACAGAAAGAACACTCATATTCCACTGAGTCATGTCCTTTAGTCCGACAGAAGCTGAACCACATCAGCGCACAAGAAGCGAGCTGTTTTTTGAGCACTTAGTTTATGCAAATGCGGTTTTAAGTTTTGTTTCTGTAAAGCATAAACAAATACGGGCAAAGCTGTGTGAATAGGGGAGGCTTGCGGACACAGAAACGACGTGTGTGGACGCAGATAGTTTCCGATACGGTGATACGTTTCAGTGTAAACGTAACCTTAGACTCAAATCGTACAGATTGAATAAAATCTCTACCACTTTCTTGAAATAAGGAAATGGAAGCAACTATATATAAACTACAATAAACATTCCACTTTAGAGATACATGTAGAACCCCTCCCCCCCAAGCGTCATGCCACTGCTGCAAAGTATCAGTTTCTCTTAAAAGGGTCTATATTGTCTCTGCATTCGCTTTAACCGCATACATAGAGTGCATATTCATTCATTTATCAACATGGTCCATTCGATTGGCCAAACAGTGATCAAAGTTGGTGCTTCTCAGACTGTGGTGGACTGGACATTCATGCATGCTCACATAGGCACACACACATGCTAACTTACACCTGTTTAAACCTGGTACACGGCTCCACATTTTCACCATAGCGTCAACAATCAACATGAGAAATTATATCAAAAACGCTAATATAAAATCGCATTGGATGAGGTGGTCACGGTTGTGCTTATCTCACTATTTGCAAAAAAAAGGGAATTCCTGCAACACCTAAATTTAGAAGAATCCAGGAAAGGTTATGTCACTTTAGTAGTTTTAGATATTTAGATTTTACTTTTTCCAATTTTTTTTTTCCTCAACAGGCCAAAAATTATCTGCCAATATGATTTTTTGTCTTACTCTAAAAGCGTACTGAATTTGATTTCAGTGTTCCAAAATGAATAACATTTCTGGTGTAATGTCCACCACCTGCTTGTCTCCACGGAGATGAAGTCGCTTGAATGTTCAACAGTTTGGCATTCAACATATCCATTTCACATTTATTCAGTAGATGCATCAAGAATCTTGGACTTCCGGTCATTGCGCAATGCATACTGGGAAGGATTTTCCGGAAAAGTGAGTATCAAACCAGTATTGATCCACAGGAAGGACCAAAAAGAAAACCTTTGACTGCAACGAACATTTTGTATGTGGAGCGCAATCAAAGCGGGATCCTGTTTGTTAAGCGAGAGGTACTTCGCTCTGGCGTTGACTTTTCAAATATACAAAATGTTCTCGAGATGATTTAGGCAGGCAAAGGTTTCCTTTTTGGTCCTTCCTGTGGATCAGTACTGCCCATCGCCTTCGCCTTTCACTATTTTTCAATTCCATTGGGAAGAGAAAGAGTTTGAACGGAGGTTTGCAGTCACACACATCTGATTCCCTTTTGCATTTATGGAGTTCACAAACAAATTTCTCAAGCCGTTTTCCGGTGTTAGGACATCCAACAACCACACAATTACAATGTCCGAATCCCAAAAGTAAAATACGACAATATCAGAACCAGAAACAAAAGTGATATGATTCAAAAGACTAGAAAAGATCGACTTTGTCAATAGACACGTCCCACTGGGAAAACAAACATGGCGGTTTGATGCTCACTTTTTCAGAAAATCCTTCCCAGTATGGATTGCGCAATGAATACAAGCGTTTTTATTGCTCAGAAATGCATCGAAAAATCCGTATTTTTTTTACTGTGAGTGAGATCGCCTCTCCACAAATCTGACCTGCAACTTGGCATGCTTGATCCACGGAGAAATTTAAGTTTAATGCTGTACTGTGGGACATTCCAGGCAAAGCAATAAGATCTTCATAGAGAAAAACGAGTGGTGTACCCTTCATCATCAGAATATTAAAAAAATATATATCCTAAAACATAAAGTAAAAACCAAAATTATAATTCTAGTAAATTTAACTGATGCAGATTTCCCATTTTTTGCAGTGCTCCATTATCCTCTGCGTCACGTTTCCAGTTATGAATATTAAACAACAAACATTAAAATAGTAAAAACCCTTTTGAATTTTAGTCCAAAAGTTAATTTCCAAGTTGTCATTAGTTTGCCTTTGTGGCTACTACTACTAGTACTACTACTACTACTGCTGCTGTTGCTGCTGCTGCTGTCCATGGCCCCAGCATGCATGAAAAACCTGAAGGGATGTTTTTAGCTGCCACAGAAAACCTCCACGCAGCCAGGTGGAGCTACGTGCACAGTCCCAAAATATCATCAATGTGTTCACTGGTCCGTTACATTGAGCGAAGAGAAAATTAAACGGTTTAAAACAGCCAGCTTGCTCTTTTGTTTATTGCTATACACATGTGAAGAGGCTGGCTTCACGTACACGAATTCTGTTGTTATGTTTGGGTATTCGTGGGTTACTTCCTGATTTGAAGGACTTGGTGAGGAGATATTTTTGATTTGAATAGATTAATAATCGTAAGGTAACTTCAAACCCATGTAAAGTCGGTAGTTCGTGGCCACCTGCACTTAGGGTTCTATAATATACCGTATTTTCCAGACTATTGAGCACACCTGAATATAAGCCGCATCAATGAAATTTTAACAAAATTTTAAAATTGTACATATATAGGCCACACCTGAATATAAGCAGCAGGTGTCCACTTCTTCAAGAACGTTTTTGAGTTCGGGCCGTCTGCTTTTATTGCCTCTGAAAGCTTTTGTCGTCTTTTTTGATTGAGTCAGTTCGTCGTGCTGCCGTCGCCAAAATCTCACCATCGACTCACTGATGTCGAGTTCACGTGCAGCAGCTCTGTTTCCTTATTCCACAGTCACATCAATCGTCTTTAACTTAAAAGCTGCATCATCTGCATTTCTTCGTGTGTTTCCCATGAGGAGGGTGTGTGTATGAAGCGCAAAATAACTGTTCAAAACTTCCTTGCCGTCTCTCCCAGCGCTCTACATCGCATGTCTCCTGCAGAAAGAGTCTCTGTTCTGTCTGTATCATGTCAGGTTCTCGGAGGATTTCAGCAGATTTCAGACTCTCACGGGGGAGGGGTTAGTTCTGTCAATCAGGTCTGACTGGATGTCCGGCTACTGAAGTTTGAGACATTTCTTCTCGTCATTTACGCAAACAAGTAAGACATATCCCCCTCACTAATGCTCATTTAACATCATAACTTATTTTATCACACGGCAATAAACTATTTGAGTGAACCCTAGATCCATGTGTAACTGCACATACAGCGGCGTTCTCTGCTCTCAGGCTGCGCATATCCACTGTGTTGCCAAACCATAGACCGTTTATATGAATGAACAATGTGCCAAACAAAGAATCCGTCCATATATTCACCGCATCGTTTTATTAGCCGCAGGGTTCAAAGTGTGAGAAAAAAAGTAGCGGCTTATAGTCCAGAATTTACGGTAATTGTATAATTGTATCCCTGTGGGTTTAAAATTAAAATCGGCACTACTGGTTTTTGTTTTGGCCAGTCAGAAGGCTTGAAAAAAAATGCGTTCTTTCTTAATTGTTACAGAGTTCGATGCAAAGTTTGTGTCTGTTGAACAAATATTTCACTGTTTATTTGAAATCTGGAGCTCAATTTGGTTGTTTCTGAAAAAAAAAAAAAAAAAAAAGTAAAATCCTGTATACATTATCTTTAAAATTTTAAATATCGATGAAAGAATGTGCGACTAAATATGGCAAATTTTAAAAGCGTGATTTTTGATGTATGCACGGTTTTACTAAATGAGCAATGCCCCAGTAGATTTGAGCCAAAAACATACAATTTCATCTTTCAGGTAGCATAAAAGCAAATTATATTAGTTTTTATCACCACAAATCCAAACTAAATTCATAGTTTAAATGCATAAATTGTATTAAAACTTCATTTGTGTACAGGTAGCCAGCCCCTTTCAAAGCGCTCTCATCCACTGCTGTTAAACGTCTCTTTTTGATACTACACAATCAAAGCACAACAAAATCACCATCTACAAATAATGGAAGAGGTGATAAAACATAAAGCTCTTAGTCACGTTTTGCTCATATTTGGACCATTTTTTTAAAGTCTTTGAGTGATTCAAAAAGGTCCAACTTTATTTATACAAGCAGCAAGTCAGTGTTGTATTTGTAGCTTTTCACAGTCTTAATATTCAAACACTTTTTTCCACTTGCAATAGGCCATTTGAAGAAAGAAAAATGTCTATATTACACATTTAAATAGTGCTTTTTGTATGTAAAGGCAAGGCCATCTCTTGCACACTCCAGTACAAATATTTAAAGTTGGATTTATCGAGTTGCAATTTTCCATCCGGAGTCCTGATCCCTTTAGAAAATAGGTTAAATCCAGTGACGCTCCCAGAATCTCTGATGGCAGAAGTCCTACAGGTGGAACAGGAAGGACTCAGGGGCAGATTGGCACAAGTCCATCTGGACACTTATATTTCAATGCTACATGTCATTTTGCAGCTGGTTTTGACATGAGAATAATAAAGTGTTCTGGCTGTTGTAACCAAAGCTCATTTAGATTAAAGGTTCAGTTTTATAAAATTTTGAGAAATAAATTTCCAACTAAATACTTAATTTCAGCTCACCTGGATTTTAAATTGTTTCCAGTGAAACAAAACATAAATCCAGGTTTGAACTAAATATCCTTTTACACCTGGAAGATTTCATAAAATATTTAGGCTTTATAAAAGCTCAACATTTTTATTATACTTATTGAACCCAAAGCACACACAGTGGAAAATGGTGATAGAATTTCATTAGTATATTGAGCCTTTTTTAGATGAATAAATGATCAAATTTATCAGGATGGGTTCTGTAACAATTATAAAAGAGCTGGTGAAAGCACAAAAGTCTTCTCTGTTAAAATGAGCTGTGATTAAAAAGACAAGAGCACCTCTCATGTTTGATACTCCATGTTAGTCGTCTAAGCAGGACATGATTTGTCATTGGCCTGTGGTGGAGGAGGTGGAGGGGGGGTATGGGTTAGAGAGTGTCCCACAGGAGGGGGCGCTGTGGGAGGGACAGTGGAGGTTGGAGACCCCATAGCAGGACTTCCACTGCCCCCGGTGCCTTTAGGAAACACCACAGGTTTGGGTCTGGTGGCTGGAGGTCTGAGCTCCCTGAAGGAGGGCACAGAGGTGGAGAGGGCGGAGGAAGAGAGGGAGGGGGAGGTGGCGGAGGGGAGGGGGCTCCGTGGTTGACTTTTGGGTCTGAAGGAGGAGGGCACATCGCTGGCAGAAGAGGCACTGCGCTGGAGCGGGTGTGGGTGGTGAGAGCTGGTCCCCTCGCTGTCCCGGAGCAGTCTGGAGTGGAGCGGGCTGGAGGGCTCAGATGCCCCCCCAGACCCCCCTCCTCCTCCCCCCACCCCCTTCAGCTGCTCCAGAGTGTCCAGCACCACGTCCGGGGTGTGTTTGGACGAGCTCTGACGCTCCAGCTCACGGAGCTCACTCAGTGCCGTGCTCATGGCCGCTTCTATGTCCTAGAAAAGATGATCAGAACAGCCCATTACAGGATGTGTAGTACTACAAGATTCAAATACAGTTCATCAGACTATTCACCATGGAAGATTCAACAGGCCACAGCACTGACACACAAGATGTCCAGCACACAGCCATATTTTAGATTCTAATTTATCCGGCCATAATGTGTTTGGCAACCTGGCAGAGGCCACTTGATTTGTGTTCTACACATTATAACTCTTAGATGGCTCTAAAAAAATTGCCTTGAAAATAATCAGGCAGACAAGTACTTCAAATGGATTGATGGAAGTGTCACAACAGAGAAGTGAAAAAGCACAGACAAAGTCTTTCCCGGTAACAAATGCAGAAATCGCTTTCCTCTGCACATTTTTCAAGAAGTCCTTAAGATGTGCATACTGTCATCTACATGTGCTGCTATGTTTGCTTTGGTTCGTTTGATTGCTTCACTGTTGGCTTCGCTGCTCTGTGATTGGACGCTCATGCAGTGACTCAAGCCCAAATGCAACAGCAGGAGAGGATCAAGATGGATTTTGTGAAATCACAAAAAATGTAGGAATTCATCTTGCAGGCCAAGGTAAACATTTTGATAGAACAGATTTATGGCTGAGTAGTTTTAGTTTTACCTGTGAACTGTGCTCCACTTGTGCGATGACTTCTGGGTCCAGCGGTCTGTGGTTACTGAAGCTTTTAGAGCGCCCTGCAGGAGTTGATTTACGCAACTGTGGGCTTTCCACCTAAAGACACAAAACAATATTAGTTTATTGTGTGACAGATATTAAAGATATGTAACTTTATAATTTATATTGTAACTTTTGCTGAAATTTTCCGGAGTATGGCTTTAAAACATCTTACATTTATTTCATTATGGGAGCTCAAAAATACTGGACAACATGTATTTTTACAGTGAGTGGGGTTACATCTCCAGATCTGAAGGGTAATTTGTGGTGTAATGTTCTCTGCTTGTCTCCATGGCAGTGCATATGTATAATGCCATACTTTGGAACATTCTAAGCAAAGCAATAGCATCTCCATGGAGACAAGCAGGTGGCTTACCCTCCACCAGAAATGTTCCATACTGCACTTTTAAGAAAACCAATACTATAGAACCTGATGCCTTGCCTTGCTCTTGAGAGAGGAGTGCCTGGTGACTGAGTTGAGGATGCTGTGGGCACTGACTGGTCTCTTGTCTGGGCTCTCCTTCACCAGAGCGCCCCCCACAGGCAGAGAGGCGGTCCTGACGCCTGCACTGGGGGCCGTGCTTTCACTGTCTGAGCCTCGGAAAGTTCTTCTGACGTTGGTGGACTCCGGACGCTTCCTCATCCTGAACAACACACCAGCATTACACATACAAGAATGACTCAGACCAGTGTTTCTCAAACTTTGGTAAACACGCTCCTTCGGGTAGCACTTTGACAGCTCTTTAGTTTGTACGTTTGCCTAATTCAGCTCATCCAATTTTTTGCACTCCTTAAAATTTTTATTTAAGTAGAAATTATGTAGTCCACTTTTCGACCTTGGTTTAGATCTGGTGGTACTCGGAAATCCAAATCTTTTCTTTGGTGGTACTCAGTGTGTACCACTGACGCAAACTTTAAATATATTTATAAAACACTAATAAACATTCTTTGGAACATTAGACAAACGTTACTGATCCAAAAGGGACATTTTCATATACACACATTTTGCACAATTTTAACAAACTGCACAACTAAACAATGAGACAGAAACCAGATTACTCATTAGACATCACTATTTATCTGCTATTTCAATAATCTGATAACTCCAGAAATCAGATTACGATCAGATTTTGGTGTGCAAGTAAAGATAACCCAGGATTTGGAATATTCACGCAGTAATAAACTTACTTGTTGAGGTTTGCAAGATAAATATCAGCCACATGTGGTCCTGTGGGTGAAGCAGCACTCCCCCTGGTGGCCACTCGCTCTTCCAGCAGCTCTTTCATGTCTGGATCAGCTTTAGGACTTCCCCTTCCTCCATCAGACCTGAAAACAAACACACATGACAGTTTTCTAAAGAATCCAATCACACCGGGAAGTAGAAATCTCAGGGAATTGCCAGGAAAAACCAGGAACACAAATAAAAAATTCCTCCCAACCACACCCCTCGCAAATGAAAGGACCATTCTTCCCGACTTCAAGTTTCTTGGAACATAACATCTACTGTATGTTTAATCAGAACTATTACGCAACTTAACAACAGTTTTGGTGCTTCTTCTTCTTCTTTATAGGGAAAATGACAAAATTACCTCTATCTGCTCAACCAGAATCAGGAAGTAAAATGATACAAAATAGTTAAGAGAAGAGATTTTTTTTTCTGAAATCAAAAATGTAGTCATGTCAACTACACTTTAATAAAATACAAAATAAGATTAGCAAGAGTAATATTTTATGTATAGCTGGTAAAACACACACTTACCCCTCACAAATACACTTATAGTTTCTTACTTAAGAGTATAACATTTATAGTTAATATGGATCTCTTAAAAAACTGACAATACTTATAACTGTCATATTTTTTATTGTGAAGCTATTTTGTAACTTATACCAGCTTTGGCTCTTTTTTACAGTGTGCTTACTATAGTATGTCCATCCAGGAAAAGAATTAGAAACAACAGAAACTGAATTGAAGGGGAATCTAGGTAAGTCAAATCTAAAATATAATCATGTCAACATTTGACATTTTTACATTTAATTAAATACATACAAGATTATTGTGATTGGAATCTATTTTTGATTTTTTTTATAGCTCAATATGCATCACCAGTACATTTTCAACTATTGCACTAAAATATGTACGTTTTAGAGCAGGGGTGTCAAACTCAAATTCACAAAGGCCAAAATTAAAAACTGGATTTAAGTTGTGGGCCAAACTACATATTTATTGAAAAATTTTGAATGTTTTCTCTTCTTTCAAGATATGTAATGTTAAACAGTTTCTTAAAATAAATGTTTACTAATAGTTTTGCTTAAACATTGAATCCAGAACAAGCAAAATAGAAAATAATAACATTTTAAATAAATAATGTCTCTATAGAATACCTGTAGCCGACATGTAGCTCTAATACATGTTTGATATGATCTCATGGGCCAAATATAAATATATCACAGGCCAAATTTGTCCCCTGGCCTGAGTTTGACATGTCTGTTTTAGAGGGTCAGATAAGTAATTTCTATGCAAGTATTTAATCATGCTATTTGTTTATTAATAATATTGTACTTTCTGGAATTATCCATCTTTGGAATTATTGTTAGTGGTTAGGTCAGTCACAATAATTACTATATTGACTCAATATTTTTGTGTGTACATTTTCCTTTGCATTAATGGAGAGTTTTTTGTTATTTTAGTCTTAATACGGTAAGATTTGAACTGTACAGGGTTGAATATTTAACTTCTATAAAATACTTTCAATATTATCATTTATTCTTATTATTCTATGCAGTAATACAGTATATCTTGCTTCAGAATTTGTTATTGTGACAGTTCTACTAGTGGCAAAAAGTAGTTTCAATATTATCATTTATCATCACACTTGAGAGGTGAAAATCTGTGAGTATCTGCGGTGTCTTACGTGTCTGGTATGACGATGTACTGGTGCGGTATGAGTCCGTCGGTGCAGTTGTAGCGCCCCTCCCACCAGTCAGTGGAGGCGCGGCGGTACAGCAGAAGCACCGCCCCCTTTTTGAACGACAGCTCCTGATTGGTGCGTCCGGTGTAGTCGAACCGGGCCACGGCTTCGAACGGGTCGCAGTCTGAAACAGCCAACGAGCCTGTGTTTAAGGAGACGGACGGGGGACGGGGAGCGACACGGACAAACAGAAAGAAGAAACAGAAGTGAAGGAAAGAGATGGAAAAGGCAGGTTATTGCAAAGCAGGTTAGAGTGAGTGCATCAATCTGTTTTACATATCCTGAGCAAGAAGCAAAGCAGCAAAGTTGACAAGAAACAGGGTCAGACAGTATAGTGGTATAGTTTTAAAAGTCCCTGTGCCCAATAATTTCATGTAGAATATAGAATATATATATAGAAAGTAGTAAAGTCTTACATTCATTTAGGTGAAGAATAGTGACATTTGGAAAACAAGAGTAAGGAATTAATCCATGTATCATTCGTTTTTCAATATAAAACCAAAAATAAGAAAATGAAAAAAAACAACTATTTTCTTCATTATTTGTCTCCAAAACCAAAATGAATAAAACAAATAATGATTTGTTTTTTCAGTTTTCGATTTTGTGTTTAAATGAATAATAAAAAAAAAACTGATAACATAAACCGTGATGCCGGACTTTTGCACTGCATACGGACTGAACCAGGACTAAACCAGATCCAACCAGACTGGAACCAGACAGGGACTGAGACCAGGACTTAGACCAGAACCAGACCAAGACTGAGCCCGGGACCAGGACTGAGACTGAGACCGGAACTGAAAGCCGGACCGAGTCTGGGCCTGAGATCGGGACTAGACCCGAACCAGACCGGAACTGAGACTGGGACCAGAGCGGCACCAGACTGGGACCAGACTGGGACCGGACCGAGACCAAACCGGGACTGAAAACAGTTTAGTCCTGTTTTAGTCTGTATGTGGTGCAAAAGTCCGGCATCACAGTTTAAGTCACAGGAACGGGAAACGTTGGTTATCCATTTTTTCCGTTGTTAATTTAAACACAAAATTGAAAACTGACAAAACAAATCGTTATCTGTCTTTTCATTTTGGTTCTGGAGACAAACGGTTATTTTTTTTTCCTTATTTTTTGGTTTTATATTGAAAAATGAATGAACGAACGATACACTGATTGGAATTAATACTTTGTAGTGACATCACGCTAGGGGGGTTCTACATGTATCTCTATTGTTTATCAGTTATCATGGTGACACATTTTCAGTGATCAATATGAGCGTTCATGGTGCTGTTTAGGGGTTTGATTTGAACAAAGAAGGTGAGAGTGACAAACTGAAAAACTCTTTGTTCATAGCATAATTCAGCTCCTGAGTTGTAGTTCCAACCAAACCAACAAAAACCAATACTTTATGGTCAGATTGTGTTAAAATAAAGCTCATGTTACAGTTCAACTTCAGTAACAGAGCTAAAAGAAGAGTAATTCCAGTTAACTTCATACCCCCAGGGAATGTTGATGACAGAATTAGGGTGACCAGACGTCCCTGTTTACCCGGAACAGTCCCAGTTTTGAGCCTTGTGTTCCCTGTCCCAGCAGATTTATCCAAAACCAATGATTTGTCCCAGTTTTATAAAAGAAATGTCCCAGGTGTCCCTATTTTTGACCAATATGATACCTGCTGACTGTAAAGAGAGGCATAAATTATCACTTTTTAGGGAAAATACAGAAAAGATGAAAATGTGACTATACTGACACATGTTAGTCATGAACGGGCCGAGTGCAGAACAGTTTTCGTTAAGTACGCACTCATTTCACAATTTTATTATTACTAACAGCTCCAAACCGAGAATGTCCCAGTTTTTAATTCGGAAAATCTGGTCACCCTAGACAGAATCAACACATTTGGACAGCTGGAAACAGTTAAAAATAAAGTAGTTCCATTCTAAACAGTTTGAAAATCTGTGAACATGACCTTGAAACCTAATTGTAATTGTTAATTGTCAGTTTTCATAAACAGGCCAAAGATATGAGTGCATGATTTGTACACAGAAGGTGAAATAAGACTCACAGTGTTGGGAGTAACAGGTTATAAAAGTAACAAATTACTGTAATGCATCTCTTTTTGCTGTAACGCAGTAATGTTCAGCATTACAGGGAATTTTTTAAAAAATATTTTACTCGGTACAAATGTCAGTAACACGTGTCACAGTGCTTTTTTAACCTGGATTGAAGTGGTGGGTTTTTCGTTTTTCTTCATACAAATTAGCAAAAATCACGGGGTTAATCGCAGCTGACGCCCGATCGTGCTTTGCAGACACACTGCTCCACAGCTCGGGGTTCCAAGTCCTAGGCCAAGATTAATCCTGGTTTGGTTCTGGTTTGGTCCTGGTTTGGTTCTGGTTCGGTCCTGGTTCAGTCCTGGTTCAGTCCTGGTTCAGTCCTGGCTCAGCTCTGGTTTAGTCCTGGTTTAGACCTGGTTTAGACCTGGTTCACCTCTGGTTTAGTCCTGGCTCAGTCCTGGTTCAGTCCTGGTTCAGTCCTGGCTCAGCTCTGGTTTAGTCCTGGTTTAGACCTGGTTTAGACCTGGTTCACCTCTGGTTTAGTCCTGGCTCAGTCCTGGTTCAGTCCTGGTTCAGTCCTGGCTCAGCTCTGGTTTAGTTCTGGTTTAGTCCTGGTTTAGACCTGGTTTAGACCTGGTTCACCTCTGGTTTAGTCCTAGTTTAGTCCTGGTTTACTCCCAATTCAGCTATGGTTTAGTCTGTATAGGGCGCAAAAGTTTGGCATCTTCACTCGCTGATTGTTATTTGACAATCAGTTATTTTGGTGAGAGGAGTAAGTTAAAGTGCTGCAGTAGTCGTGTAATGTTTTACATTTTAAATGCAGTAAGGTTGTAATGTAACAACTTACTTTGAAATGGCAGTAACAAGTTTTAAATAACACATTAGAATTTTGAAGTAACTTGCCCAACGGTGTTACTCACCATCATCACTGTTGCCGGCTGAGATGTCAGGAGCAGGTTCCTCCACTAGAGGGGGCTCACAGTGCGGACTATCACTGGAGGAGAGGCAACAAAGGGAAGGAAGAGTTAAAAACATATTAACAAACAGGAAAAGTATGGCTATATATATTATTTTGCTTCTGTATTTGACTAAAGTGTGTTTCTAAAATGCAACATTAACCAACCCCATACTGTTGAACACAAACTAGATTTTTAAGCATACAATTTTTCTTTTTTGTATATTTTTTGTAATCAAGAATGCCTGAATAGAAGCCACATTTCTTCTTAGATTCTACCACAACATCAAGTAGTTTTGTGCTTTCTGAAAGGACACACTTTAGGCAGACAAATGCCATATGCAAACTTACTAATACAAGAAATTAAAACACAATTCTGGTTATTTTTCAGAAAACAACATTAAACTAAATGGTCTAGTATAATAATGAACCAAAGTCCAATCCAGTGTCTACAGACAAAACCAGACTTTCTATTTATAGATTTCAGAAGATCACTCAAAAGATCACAGGTTATTGTATTTTGAACCATCAAAGTTATTCATCAGTCTGAACCCCTTGGATACAATGAAAGTCCTCTCACCAGAAGTGGTCTCCAGTGCCCGGGATGGTGTATACCGCCCCCTGCAGGTCCTGAGCGGAGGGGAAGATGTCGCTGTGGTGGATGATGATGGTTTTGATCAGCTCGTTCACGTGAGCCTGACATGACACCTGGTCGTTGCCTTCGGGGACCGACATGAGTGTGGGACCAAAGCAAATGGCCAGGTTGTAAGGGTCCATCATGTTCTCTTCACTGTACTGGGACAAGCTGGAAGCAGAGGAACAGAGACAGTGTGGTTACTTCAAGGACTTTGCTCCACAAAACTTTGCTGAAAATAAGGAATCTGAAACCAACAGTCACAATAACACAGATAATAACAAAACCAACCATTTCAATCTGTGTATCATTTGTTCATTCATTTTTCAATATAAAACCAAAAATAAGAAAACAAAAAAAAACAACAGTTTTCTTCATTATTTGTCCCCAAAACCAAAATGAAAAAAATGCACAATGATTCGTTTTTTTATTTTTCGATTTTGTATTTAAATGAATAATGGAAAAAACGGATAATGTTTCCTATTTCTGTGACTTGAACTGCAATGCGGGACTTTTGCGCCACATATGGACTAAACCAGGACTAAAACAAGACTAAACCAAGACTAAACCAGGACTAAACCATTTTCAGTCCTAGTCTGGTCCCAGTCTCAGTCCCGGTCTCAGTACTGGTCCAGTTCTGGTCCTGTTCCCGGTCTCGTCCTGGACTCAATCCTGGCCTGGTCCTGGTCTAAGTCCTGGTCTCAGTCTGGGTCTGGTTCTGGTCTGGTCTCGGACCTGGTTCAGTCCTGGTTCAGTCCATATGTGGTGCAAAAGTTCAGCATCGCAGTTTAAGTCACAGAAACGGGAAACGGTCATTATATGTTTTTTCCATTATTCATTTAAACTCCAAATCAAAAACTAAAAAAACAAATCATTATTAATTTTTCCATTTTGGTTTTGGAGGCAAATAATGAAGAAAACAGTTGTTTTTTCATTTTCTTATTTTTGGTTTTATATTAAAAACAAATGAACAAATTATACACGGATTCATTTACTACAATGTTTCTAAAAGCCCTTTCTTGCTTTAAACTTAAAGTCAGTATTTTCACGTTTTCAACTCAAAATCTAATCAGTTCTTAGGGCTTGGCTCTTCACTGTTGCAATGATTATGTTGAGAACAGTGTGTACCCACTGGAGGAATACAGAGCTATGATGGCACCGTATGCCAAAATGAAATCAATTTGTTTGTATAGCTAAGGTGCATGGGGGTGGTAGAGCTGGCACCCAGAGGACCGCCACGCTGTAGATGACCCAGAGACTGTGGTAGGTCAGATGTAATCAGTGGGCAAGGTTATAAACACAAGTCTAGAGTCATATAAAATAGTGACAAATAATTATTATATGGTATTATCTATTTTGCATGAAAGATAACACACCATGCTGTTTGTTTGTTTTTTTATATATAAGTGTGTGTATGTGTGTCTGTGTGTAATTTATTTATATGTATATTTTTATTTAATTGTATTTATTTATTTACAGCTTTGTGAAGCGTTACTGAGCACCCAAATGAACTATATTTAATTTCATTACTCAACTGATAATTATATAGTTCACCTGAGTCAACAGTACATTTCATTTAAATTAAGGGCAGGATTTATTTATTTATTTTTTTGCTTGGGGGTACTGGGTTAGTAGGAAAACGGGAATAGAGAAAGGAAGAAAGGGGGGTCCTGGGGTAAATCTAGTTGAGGTAGATTACATTGCCTTCAGGTTCATCCCTGAAACAACAGTGGAATCCGGCCTTGGCACTTTTCTTCTTTTTTCTTTGTTTGTTTCCCGTTTGCTGAGCTCCTGGAGGTCTCATGATGGCTGCCTCTGGTTTGTCTGGTATTTCGGCACAGAACCGAACACTTGGTTTGGTGTCTTCTGGCTCAGACGCTGTAAATCTTGGTGGTTGTTCTTTGACCACATTGAGGCTGGTGTTGTGGGACTGCTGATGGATCAGGAGAGCTTATAACCTCAAAGTTTGTTTACTACTCCCGCCACAGTTTTTCTTTTCGGGAGTTTGTGACTCTGCAATGGCATTTGTACAAACTCCATCATTTGTAGCGTTGTCAGCACCCTGTTCATTCTCAATCAGGCAGATGGAAGGAATCTCAGGCTCATTATTCAGTGTTGGGACCTGGGTTGCTTGAGGTGGTCTCTGTTCTTTTGGTGGGTTGGAAGGATACATCTAAATAACTCCAGGCTTTGGAGCTGGTTTCTCTTCACCATGTCCTGCTGGAGTTCCACGGTCACCTGCCTTTCTTGGAAGACGTCTGGGTGGTCTTTGTTTTTTTGGTGGTTCTGAATGATACACCTCAATAACCTTAGGGGTCTGAAAGTTCAGAGACTGCCAAGTTTGTATACTTTTAGAAGCTTTCTTGGGAGACGTCTTGGTGGTCTTTGTTCTTTCGGTGAGCTCTGAGAATACACCTCAATTGGCTGAGGGGGTTTCCACCAATTTTGTCCATCATTTATAACCTCCTCAGCAGCCTGCCTGGACTCATTGACCTCTAGGGTTTTTCCATTCTCTTAAACCAGACATTTTCTTTGAGTAGAGGAGCTGGCACAAACTCCTGTGAAGCTTGTGTTGCTTCAGTTTGTGCCTTGTTCAATTTTGGTCCATCCCCATCTGGTTGGGGTCGTTTTAGGGACCTTGGGGGGTCTCTATATTAGCTTTGTTATGACCACCAGGTCTGCCATCAATGGTTTGTCCCTGTCCAGTATTAAAAGGTCTGTCTCCTCCTCTTAGGACAGAATTTCTATATGCTGGACAGGTGTCTGCCTCATTGTTCTGTTTCAAGGGTTTCTTGGCATACCTTGGTTCAGCATTAGGGTTGTTCACAGCAGCCTCCTTTCTCCAGTTAGGACATGGATACCATCATCTTGTCTTAGTGCTTTCATGGTTCTGGTTTATAGGATTGGGTCTAGACCTGCCCTGTTTCTTAGGGAAAGAACCATGTGCTTTCCTGGGCCTTTGGTTAGATGAAGGTCCCCGGGAGCTGGAGATGTCTGGGCTGGTTCTGCGTTCTCCAGCCTTTTCTTGTTCCATCTCCGTTTTGAGTAAATTTTCCATCCCTCATCTTTGGCTCCATTGTCCATTTTTGGACCCATGTTAACAGCTTGTGGAGAATGGGACATGCTCTGCTGCTCTGTCTCCTGAACTGTGACAGGACAGATGTGGATTTCAGGTTGAGGAACCTGCTCAAAATCAAGACTTGTTTGAAGGCCTTCCTCCATTGTTTCAGGACAATGGTGTAAAGCAGCCTCAATGAGCTGTTTGGATGTATGGTTCTCAGTGATCATCATAACACCACATCTTTTCTTGTTCTTCCTTCTTCCCATTGTGCAAGTTTGTTATTATCAATAATCTTCATAATTAGTCAGAAATGTTAGTAGTTAGTAGTTAGTTTGTAGTTCGCCTAAAAGTGTTTAGTCCACAAGTGCGTCAACTATCGAATGCTATGCTGCTCACATATTCATCACAAAGTTTGCAAAGACTGCGGGTGGCCTACAGTGGCACTTTACGGGTGCTTTTGAGGAGGCCACGATGGACGAGTGCGACTGAGATGTTTGTTACTGCATGAGTGAACACTTTGCAAACTGCACTAAGAACTTAATGTACAGTTTTATCTGCAGACTGAACAAATCAGACAATGAAATAATAATGTTACTCACATATATGAGATTCAGTGCAATAAGTTCAGTCCAACATGTGGAGACACTGGTATGGTTGTCTTTTAAAAACATAAATGTTTGTTGTTGTGTAATGTCACTGTCCTTGTCTGTTAAAAATGGACCATGAGTTCAGAATAAAAGATGATGATGAATAAATATGTTTTAGTAGACAACTGGGAGTCATGTGCATAGAGCTGTTTCCCACTAGATGGCATTGTTGTCCCTTCATTTCACCAGGGGCACAACTTGACTCTTGATAACTCCTCATACAGTGTGTACTGCTGCAGGCCCATAGATCTGTTACAGCAGGACATACGCTCATGGTGGAAACAAGTGTCCTGCTCACACCACTTCTCCATTGTGACTAGACTTCACTAACACACATATTACACACCCTTGATCCCCACACACTACAGCACTGCAGTGGGGCTTTGGCAGAGGCTCATGGGAAAAAGATGACTAAAAACAGCTTACACTGTTCCAGCTTCACACAGCCATTTGGACACCAGCCTTCACACAGAACACTTACAGTATTTATACAGTATGTTATTGCTTTGTCAGGAATCTTCTAAACTTCTCTGTCTTGCAGGTGTCTTTTCTTTATTATTCCACCTATAACTTGGCCTGGTAGTGTCACTGTCTTGTCTCCGAGTTTAATGTCATACTGTGGAATATTCTTCCAAGCAAAGCAATGACATTTCAATGTAGACAATCAGCCGGAAAACCATTGAAAAGAAAGTTACAGAGTTCACTTTAAACTTTTTAGTAATAGTATGAGTATAACCACAGGGTAAAATGAAAGATATGTCAGCATTACCAATAAAAAAATCAGCTCAATTTTAACTGGATTTAATTCAGGTTCATTGGTCTACTAGTTATAATGAGTGATCTAAAGATAATTTCTACTGAACTTTTGATATATATTTTTTTTATTTAAATTTGATTCAGGTTTTTGGTATTCAATCTTTGTTATAGAGCTTATTTACTTACTAGGCATTGCAATTTAGATCCTGCTATCTTGGTATTAAAACCAGTTTGTAGTCCAATAAAAAATGATCTATGATGTTCTTAAATGTTGACTATTTCATTAATTAATGAAGAGAAACAACACTGACATTATTATGATTTAACACAAAATCAAAAGTCTGAACTCTGCTCCAAACCACATGCTGGCTGGAGCCCTCACCATTAAAAAGACCAAAGTATACTGACAATTGACAAAATGACTGAAACTTGATCTCATTTAAATTCAATTAATTGCACAATAGAACAAGACACAATAATATTTACTATATTCACAATGTCTTAAGTTTACCAGAAATCCCCCTTCCCCCTCTATTAGTTGAGCTGCATTCTTCTGAGTGTATTTATTTTCACATTCATTTGGTTATTACTGTCCAATTCAAATATACAAAAGTCTTATGAGTTTCAGTTTTGTATATATGTCTATCTGATGAGTTGGTTGGTGCCACAAATTCTTCCACAAAATGAAGTTTGCGTAGTGAAGTGTGGCGGAGGTGAATGTCTGTGCAAATAAGCAGGACTAGAAACGGAAAGTTCAAGAACTCCTTAGAGACGAGGCTGGGTTCAAGAATGAATATTTGTGCTGTACCTCTCCTAATACGGCGAGTGCAAAGATGTATGCGCCGTGGACAGTTTATTAGGTACACACGGTCATCTCTTCGGCATTTACAAATCACATGACATTAACGTCACGTACTTAAGATCTAGAAGTAAAAATACGGAGGATTAAATTAGAGAAGTAAGAAAAACAGGTCTAAACCAGGGTGGGACTAACTAGATTTGAGAAAACTAAACTTGGATTAAAGTAGGATTAAACCAGGTCTAAACTGGGACTCAATTCCAGAGAAGAGCTAAACTATAATATAAAGCTCTAAATTGGATCTAAAACTGAACAAAGCCAAACAACCCAAGCTTATGAAGTTAGCAACTTCTCTAAAATAGCCCCTTGTCTGGAATGTTTCACAGTATGGCATTAAACTTGTCCATCTACTATCTCCATGGACAGCAGCAAGTGATGCCACCAGGCTCAGGTCTGTGGAGAGGTGGCCCTGCTTGCAATGAGAATGCATGTTTTCCAGATATTTTTTAGCAATAAAAACATCTGTAATAGGAAAAATGCATAAAAATAGGTAAATACAATTTCTTCCATTCAATAGCATCTCCATGGAGACAAGCAGGTGGCGGAACATCATCAGAATCATTTACATACATCATTTACACCTGGTTTAAGTTAAAGGTACACCAAGACTAGGGGCGTGCAAAAATTTCGAAATATCAATATATCATATCGCTTAGTGCGATACAGCATCAATATTGTGAGCTGTTCTATCGATATATCACCAAGAGTATTTTTTACTCAGTTATTTTGTTACAGCGCTACACTTGTTGCTTAGTTTATTGGAAGAAAACTTGTTTATGTGACACATTTGACATTTTCACTGGGTAAAATGTTTGTGTTTCATATGAACTTTGTACAAGAAGTGGTTTAACAAAGACTTTTAGTGTCACAGCCATGATTTAGTCTTCGTATTTTTATTGAACAAATCAATTTGAAATATATCATGTCGAATTGAAAGCTCATTGTATCGAGAAATGTGTCGTGGCTCATGTATCGAGGTATGTATCGTATCAGCGACTTCTTAATGATACCCAGCCCTAACTAAGACTAGTTACCCCTAAACCTTAAACACGTTTTAACCTGGTTTAAATAAAATTTAAAGGTGCACTGTGTAACTTTTCAGCTGGAGAGTCCGTCAGCTGCTTATTTCTATGGATATGTCATTTGTTTGCTTAGAATGTTCCACAGTATGACAATAAACAGCTCTAGCTTACATTTATTAAATTACAGGTGGTTTTATAGCTCAAAAATATCTAGAAAAACAGGAATTCTGACTGTGAGCTGGGTCGCCTCTCCACAGATCTGACCTGTAAGTTGGTCTGATTTGGTCTCCATGAAGATAGAAAGGTTTAATACCATCCTGTGAAACATTCCAAACAAAGCAATAACACCTTCATACAGAAAAGCGTTTGACGGACCCTCTACCAGAAAAGTTACACAATGCACCTCTAAGCCTCACACTAATATCTAACACAGGCATAACCCAGGACTAAACAAAGTAGCAGGTTTCCAGGTGGTTCAGTTTCCGCTCCCACAAATGTAATATGCAAACTGGTGTTGTGTCATTGAGCAAAATACTTGACTTACATCTGGAAGTAACAGGAAGGTAGTATATACACAGGAAGACTTAAAGCCCAAGAACCAGGGGTAAAAGCAGCTCCTAATACAACTTAGTAAATCAGATATGAACAATAACAGCCTGACCTACAGAATACATGGACAAGAGGAGCACCATAGTCTGAGAAATGTACATTACAGATCTAATCTCTTTTGGCAAGTCACAATACATGCAGCCCGAATTTTGGACTTCCGGTCATCGCGCAATGCATACTGGGAGGTGAAAGTGAACATCAAACTGCCATGTTTGATTTCCCAGTGGGATGCGTCTATTGTCAAAGCCGATCACTTCTAGTTTTTTGAACCATATCACTTTTGTTTCTGGTTCTGATATTGTCATATTTTAGTTACGGGATTCGGACATCGTAATTGTGTGGTTGTTGCACGTCCTAAGAGTGGAAAACGGGCTTCAGAAGTTTGCAAACTCCATAATTACAAAAGGGAATCAGATCTGTGTGACTTTAAACCTCCGTTCAAACTGTTTCCCTTCCCAACGGATATGAAAAGCAGTGAAAGGCGAAGGCGACGGGCAGTACTGATACACAGGAAGGACCAAAAAGGTAACCTTTGACTGCCGAAGAAATCAGCCCGATTTTGCAGCGAACATTTTGTATGTGAAGCGCAATCAAAGCAAAATCCTGATCCCTCACTCCACCTTGGTTATGAATTTAAAAAGTCAATGCCAACCACACAATTACAATGTCCAAATCCCATAACTAAAATATGACAATATCAGAACCAGAAACAAAAGCGATATGGTTCATAAGACTTGAAAAGATTGACTTTGGCAATAGACGCATCCCACTGGGAAATCAAACATGGCGATTTGATGCTCCCTTTTTTGGAGGGTTCTTCCCAGTATACACTGCGCGATGACAAAATTCGGGATACATGTATAATTTAAAAATCTTCCCTGGCCTATGGAAATGATTTTTAATGATGTTCGTGGTCTTTGTAAAAACACAAATTATCCTTGAAACAGCAACCCAGAACCTGCTTCATTGGTCCATCCCCAATCTGAACCACCCCTAGTGTGTGTGGAGAGACCCAGTGTGTGTGGAGAGACCCAGTGTGTGTGGAGAGACCCAGTGTGTGTGGAGAGACCCAGTGTGTGTAGAGAGACTCACTGGTTTAAGAAGGCGAAGAGGTATCTCATGATGATCAGGGTTTTGCTTGGCAGAGGCTGTAGCACTTTCTTGATGTGGACCGCCCGCTCCTGAAGGCTCTCCATGGCTGAAAAACACACCAGACATTTATTTTTTCAACAAACAGAGTTACCTTGGAGTCCATATTAATCACATTTTCACTTAATAGTTTTAGTGTGGCTTTATGCATTTGGCTCCATTGAAAATTCCATATGCGCAGTACTGTTTAGTTCTGTTTTGGTTTGGTATTACAGGTGAATGTAGTTGATTCTTTCTCAATTTTCTTTTCCTTCAGCTTGGTATTCCTGAACATGAACCTCTGCTCATGACAGGTTGCTCTAATTGAAGGATGAGTCAAGTGCAATGGTTCAAAACTATTCAAACAAAGTATAAACTTAAAGGAGATGTACCATGCAAAATTGAGAGAATATAAAGTTCCCATATTACTGTATTTTTTGGACTATAAGTTGCACTTTTTTTCATGGTTTGGGTGGTCCTGCGACTTCATACTGCTACTCCTGTACAACTGTCACTTCCCACTCTACTGCACATGTCTCCAGCAGAAAGGGCCTCTGTCCTGCTGCAGGTAGTGAAAAATTCAGTCGAAAACGGTAATCGAGCAGCAGAAAGAAAGTTTGGAGAGAGCGAGACACTTGTGAGGGACTGGCAGAAAGCGGGGATGGAGAACACAGCTTCACAGGAACCGGGAGGATGCACCATGTAACTTTCCTTGAAGTCACTGAATGGACGGACAAAGCCTGAACTTCAGTGACACCAAAACCATCCTGTCGGGATTCAGAAAGGACAGAATAATTCTAACTGGAACTGATGCTGAGTCTAATGAGAGCTACACAGAAGAGGAAGCGGTGCCCTGTTTACCTCTGGAGGTCACAAAGTTGCTCCGAAATGACACCAAGGATGAAGAATTCAGTGGATTTAGTGATTTGGAGTGAGATGGAGAGTTTGGTAAACTTGTTCTGTTCTGTTGTTTATGCTATAGTTTATCTGAAGAACTGGTCATGTGTGACATTAACAGTCTATTGTTCTCTGTTCTGTTGTTATTACTAGAACTTGCTTTTCAAGATAAAATGTCAGTTCCTGGTCTCTGATTTTATAAAAAAAATTTCCCCCAAAAAGTGCAACTTATAGTCCAGTGCGACTTATAGTCTGAATAAGAAGGTATACACTATTACTATTTCTATACACTATTTTTGTTTCATTTATACAAATAACACACAAATCCTGTTTTGTTTTTTCTTTTTTTGCTGTCACTAGAATCATTTGAATGATTTCAGCCCTAAAACAGCCAATCTTTACTAAACAAAAAGTAAAAGGTAACACTACATGACATGGTGGAACAGAGCTTTTTGAGCTTTCGAGATGTAGGCAGACAAATAATATAGGATTACTCAAACATGTGTGAATGAAACAAAACACAACTCCAGGTCTGTTTTTGATGAGTTTATAACATTCTAATATGTCTTAAAGCTCACAAGTGTAAATTTTGAGTAATATAGGACCTTAAATAGTTAATAAAAATGTACTACAGTGGACCTATACCTTTTATTAATGTGCCTTAAATTGATTATTGGAATTTAAAATGCACAAAATATAATATTATGATCTATGCATGTCATAGATTTTTACAATATCCCAGAGAAATTCATAATACTAATAAGAAGTATGCTCCTACTGGTGACAAAACAGCACTACAGCTTCAGTGCACCCTGACTTGTGCCCTAATCAATGGTGTCCCGTGCAGAGGAAACACACAGAGACAGATGGAGCAGAGGAGACGTACAAACGCAGGAGATGAGGTCATGGAAGACTTCCTTTGGGAACAGAGCCGTGTCCAGGCCTCGGAAATACAGCTTCAGGACTCCAGCAATAGAGTCCATGTCGTGGTCGTTCTGGTCTCCGGCCAAAGGATCCTCACCTTTAACAGGGGAAAACAATACAGAGGGAGATATGAAAGAAGTACTCCAGATCTCAAGTTATTTTAAATATCATTAGTCAAGCAGACACCACATAGCAAATGTTTAAAGGCCTATATTTTCTGATCTACTCTATGCTATGATGTTGGCTTTGTTGTTTTTGAACTCCATACACCTTTGCTAGAATCATGTGGATAATTTCAGTCCTGGAATTTCCAATCTCTACTGAACAAAAGACAAAAAGCTGTTTACAACTTCATGACATCACAAGGTGGAACAGAGCATTTTGAGCTTCGGAGATGTAGACAGGTACTAATAATAAAGGATTACTCAAACATGTGTGAATGAAACAAAACACAACTTGAGGTATGACTTTTAGAAGGCAACAACATTCTAACATGGCTAAAAGGTCACATGAATCCATTTTGTGCAATATAGGACCTTTAAGTTTACTTACAATTCTAAAACTACTAATACTACTTCCATTTCCCATTCTATTTCACCCCAACTGACCACCAGAGGGTAATATGTAATATACTATTCAATACTATGATTTCTACAACTACAACAAATATTACATCTGATATAGTACATCTAAAAGTTCAAACTACTACACATGACACTACTATATTTGACATTAGACGCTAAATAAGTAAAAAAAAAAAAAAAGAAAAAGAAAGTGATTTCCGAATACATTTCTAGCTGCTGGTGTAACAGATTTTCAAACATTGAAAGGAGTAACAAAATATGAACTGCAAGTATTCGCATTTCGTTTTTAGAGCACATTTGCGAAAGGACCTTTTAGCACTGCCCTCTGGTGGTCAGTCGGGGTGAAACAGAACCTGTCCTGCAATATGGAAACATGCCCTTTTCTTCGACTTGTAACCATGTGCAATTGTTTTATATTTGATTTAATTTGCACGTGTTTGAGCAGTCTGTTTGTGTGCTTTGCTGTATAACCAAGCATAAATGTTGTCTATGCACATGCACAGTTTAAGGATAGGAATTCATAGGACCTAGACGTTATGCCTGTCGCTATAATTACTATATTTACTTATAGTTCAGTATATGAAAGAAGGAACAGTTACTCTTGGGGTCAATATTTACCGTGGGTACTTTTTCGCTGTACTAGTGGAAAGTTTTTGTTCTTTTCCTGTACTACAATTAGATAACAAAGGGTGAGGAGGGCTGAGTAGATAACTTCTAAGACTCAATCTAGATGTATTCTAACTACTAAAGAAGGGGTGTCAAACTCAAATTCACAGAGAGCCAAAATTAAAACCTGTGACTAAGTTGTGGGCCAAACTACCGTATTTTTTGCACTATAGGGCGCCCTGGATTATAAAGCACACTGTCAAAGAATGGTCTATTTTCAAACTTTTTTCACAAATAAACCGCACCGGACTGCAATGAAACGCAACAGTTAGATGGCTCAGTCGGATTTTGTTTGGTGAGTTCACGGTGACTCTCGTCTTTGTTCAGTTGTGGTGCATAGGGAGGGTTGGAGGATTGTTGGCGTGTTCGCAGTGACTCAGTTGTTCAGTTGTGTCTAGAAGCGGCACATTGCATTTACCCACGGTAAATACTGACCCCAAAAATAATGTTCAATTTTTCATGTATTGAACGATAAGTCGATATAGTAATTAGGCCTGTATATTGTGGATTTTTTGGCAGGGTTAATATCGTACTTCAAAATGCGTGCCCGTGTCAGTTGTAGCAGATGTGAGTGTGTACGTTTTGTATGCTGGTACCTCTCTCAAAGGCGTTCTTGATGTCGTTGACTTCCACTTGGGATCCAGACACTCTGAAAATGCCTTCGTGCTGTAAACCTACAAACACACACAGACACAGGTGTTAGAGACATGTGCAGTTTACATTACACATTTAAAGTTGTTTACTCAATCCCGGAAACATTTAACAGAAGACGACAATGAACCAATCAGACTCAGGAAATCAGAGCCATGTGATCTCCTCACCATGACGACTGATGAAGCGGATGCAGCTCTCTACCATCAGAGGAATGGCTTCTCCAGAGTCCTGGCAACAAACAGACAAAAGGAGATATTATAAGTGATCCAGGAAAAAAAGGAATAAAGTGAAAATCTTAAACACATTTACTTATTATTTTAGTCACAGTTTGAAGACCTTACTTTTAAGTGCATCAAATTATTATTTTTTTTCTTTTAACGGAATAAATAGTCATTACCAAATCTTATTTGAATATTTCTAAAATAAATACAACTTATTCCAAGCAATTTAAACAGATTCAGGGGTTTAAGTGTTTCAGGGTTTTAAGTGAAGAGTTTCCCCTGGGGATAAACTATAAAATCTGAATTCTGATTATGATCAAATTTTTGGACTAAATCAAAATTAAACCACTAACAAACAAAAGAAAAAAAGACCCATGGTGAGTACATTTGATCATAAAGCATCAGTATTGTTAGCCAGGCTGGTGCCGCCTAGTGCCTCCGCTCAATTTCATTTCTCTCCAGCGACTAGGTCAGGAATCGGAATACAACAGACGGTTCACAAAAACCCCGGAAGTGGGAGTTCGGGCACCAGCCAGTCAGCAGAGAGTGATATATTCAGTGTTGTCAACGATTCCCAAGATCGATGATTTAAAGCCAGAATAAAGAGAATGTTTGGTGAATTTTATCAAGGGGAAAGATGTTATTGCCCTTCTTCCTACAGGATTTGGGAAAAGCTTAATATACAAGTTAGCCCCATTAGCGGCGCATTACATACATCATGACCAAATAGCAGTGACTGGTTAAATGATAAAAAGTACCTGCCTACCGTCGAGCGAACGAATTCTAAGGCTGCGAGGTCAGACGTTTTGTACGAAGTGAAACAAAGTAAAACAAAGTAAAACCGGCTGATGAATCAGGCTAATATATGGTTATTATATTATATTGTTGGTTGCTTTATCAATACATCACCATGAGTATTTTTATCACCTATTTAACCAACTTATTTTGTAACTGTGCTATGATTTTGTTGCTTGTTTTGAACCTTGTTTATGTAACATTACATACATTTGACATATTCACTGATGAATTAATGAAATTGAATGACATATATACTGATGAATTAATTAAACTGAATGACATATATACTGATGAATTAATTAAATAATTAAAATGAGTGTAGTGCGTATTACGTTTGTGCAGGTAGTGGTTTAACAAAGAAATTCTGTTATTAAAATTTGGTTCTTATCAAAATATTGATTATCACATCAAAACTGTGACACAGTTGTAATCTGGTGTATTATTGCGCTTTCATAAAATTGTGAGGTACCTGCAGTTTGCTCTAGTCCCTTAATGTGACACTAATCACTGAATCCAATAATAATACTGAATCAATGAATGAATAATAAATAGATGAATGAGTAGAACACGTTGGTATGATTTCCACACTCTGCCTGGGTACACAGATTCACAGGGACAGGGCAGAGACAGCAGGCACTCGGGGGAGCGCTCTGTTGCTATGAGACGGGTTTTCTCTTTGTTTGTTGGGTTTTAGTCATAACTGAATCAAAGCGAACATATCAGCACGTGCCATGGATAAAACATGCTCATAATGTAATATGAATGAGATAGTGACCCAGATAGTAATGATTAATATGAATAAACCGAGATAGCAAATAACTAACCTTTGTTCAAATCAGTGCTGACAGCTACTAAACTTAATATCCACCAGAGGGAGACAGTCAATTGTGAACTGTCAATTAAAAGGTACAGTGTGTAACTTTCTGGTTTCATGGAAATAGAAAGTTAAAACCCTTCTTTGGAACATTCTTATTCTATACAGTGGAATAGTATAGCAAAGGAACAACACTTCTATAGAAACAAGCAGGTGAGGTCAGGTTTATGAAAGGATATGGGTTTTCTATCTTTTTCAATGTAATAAACACAATAAAAAACATGCTTTATTTTTGTCTTGGCTAAAAAAATAGGTAGAACTATGGAAATAAAATATATACATTTAGTCAGAGACAGAAAATTGAACAAAACTTGTATTTGTATTTGTGGGGGGAAAAAAAACACTTGTCAAGGTTGCAGTAGCAGGTTAGTACATCATTAGAGTTTTTTTTTGGATAGTTCTGGTTGAGTTTTGACCTACTTTGGCCTGGTTTAGTCCAGATGCAGACCTAGTTTACTCTTAGTTTAATGACCCTAGGTTTTGTTGTATAAACCCCATTTATGAATTAGAATGAATTTATGAATTAAAAAGAGATGTACTTAATATTGATCATCACTAGGCAATATTATTTTTATCAGGAAGTGATTTTAACAGTGAAATTTTATGGGACAAAAGCATGTACACAAATGCAGCAATAAAAACTGTACCTGTTTCCGTACAGCTGAGTTCCTCCGTCCACTAAAAAACACACACACACACAAAAAATACATGTAAGACTAGAGGCTGTCAAAGCACATTTTGTAAACACATGTGCTAAAATATATAGTGAAATTCTAAGTTTAGCAGATTTCCTCTTTGGGCCACACCTACCTGGCAATGCAACAGTCAGTCTTTTGACCTGAAGGAGACAGGAAACAGGAGACAGGAGAGAGGATGTGACAAGATTAGAGCGAGAGACCATAAAGAAACAACTTCCATTTACACATGAGGGCAACGTGTTTGAGTATTACGCTTCTGAGTCACTCTTGCATGTTCATAACACAAAGTACTTCTATATAAACACATTTATGCTTACACTAGATTCACATAGTCTACTGTACACTGTTATTACCGTATTTTTCGGACTAAAAGTCGCACTTTTTTCATGGTTTGGGTGTTTCCTGCGACTTATATATTAAAATTTCCAGACTGCCAGCTGTGAGAGGGCGCTCTAGGCTCGTGTGTCAGTATCTAGTACTACTTTTACTCCTGTACCACTGTCACTTTGCTCTACTGCACATGCCTCCTGTAGAAATAGCCGCTGTCTCGCTGCAAATAGTGAAATATTCAGCCGAAAACAGTAATCAAGCAGCAGAAAGAAAGTTTGGAGTGAGTGAGAAACTTGTGATCGACTGGCTTTACAGCAACCAGGCGGGTGGCACCATGTAACTTTCCTGGAAGTCACTGGATGAATCGACAAAGTCTGAACTTCAATGGCAATCGAAACCATCCTGTCAGGATTCAGAAAGGCGTCTGACGACAGCTATGCAGAAAAGGAAGCGGCACTCTGTTTACCTCATGGATCTATGGTTTATCTCCAGGGGTTGCTCAGAAGTGACACCGAGGGTGAAGAATTCAGTGGATTTAGTGATTTGGAGTGAGATGGAGAGTTTGGTAAACCTGTGTTATGTTGTTTAGGCTATAATAACCTGAATAACTGTTAATATGTTACGTTAACATATTAACGCCTATTCAGTCTGTTGTTCTCTGTTCTATTTTTATTACTAGAACTTGACTTTGAAGATGAAATGTTGGTTCCTCGTTTCTGATTTTACAACATACATTTCCCCAAAAAGTGAGGCTTATAGTCCGGCGAGTTAAATATGTTTTTTTTCTTCTTCACTGCGCATTTTTTGGCTGGTGCGACTTACACTCCGAAGCAACTTATAGTCCGGAAAATACGGTACATTGAGAGGAAACTTAAAATGACACTGCACTTTAAACTGGCATAAGAGAAATTACAGTAAAAGCAAACGGTAAAACGGTAATTTTACATATTTTCAAAGTTAATAGAGATGATTTCTCCAAATAATTCTTACATCAATAAATACATTTCAATTATAGGCTGTATATGAAAGAATAACGTATTGTTTTCCTAATGTAAATAAATGTGGAAACCACACTTCCTGCTTAATCTGAACACTCAGTGTATCGGATATGCTTCCTGTGAGTCCCACATGATTCCCTGAAGCTGCACACACATGGCTACTGTCAAACTACAGCACGCCTGCTTCTACCAATAAAAGACACAATATTATTTCTGCAGACATGTTGACAGACATTCTCACAATATTTATCTAAAAATGATCAAAAGCCCATTCTGGACTGATCCCGCTGTTGCGTGTGAGCTCAAATCCACCAGTGGACCAATCACAGGACAGCGCTCGACCAAACCAAAACAAACAATGTCAAAACATCAACACTCGATTTTAGCAGATATGAAGATGGTTTTGTTTTGGAACTTTCAATGAAATTTAGCAATAACGTGACTTCTCGATTCGCTGCGTTGTCGTGACATTTTGCCCCGTCGGCTTGAGGCTGTATCAGATCATGTGCAGGTATCAGCCATGTTCCACCCGGGGCTCTTTCACTTTAACTGGAGACTAGAGGCAGGAGATTGGTTCAAACAGCTGTACTCACTTTCTCCCAGGGTTTTGTTGATGAGGTCGTGTTTGGCCTGGAGTTTGGTGATTAGGTTCCTGCCCTCCAGAAACTCTTTCAGCTTCTACAACAGAGAAAGGTACACCATTTATCTTTTCATGAAGCCAGTTCTAGATGACATCTAGACTGTTTCAAAGCTTAACCAGGATTTATCTAGGATCTAACCAACCGCTAATCTTAAAAATATTATTGTTTGTAACATATGCCACATACAGTGAAGTAAAACTGCTCAGTCTCCTGCTGGTTGGCTCTCCTTTTGGCCAGGCTGGGTTTGCTCAGGTAGGACTCGCTGAAAGAAGATTTGACAGACTCCATGCTGTTGCTATGGTGAAAACACTCAGAAACGTCGTAGTCCTCCACTGTCACCATGTCCTGGATGGTGGAGAGAGTGGCCTCCATCGTCTTCTTCACCTGGAAACAAGGGAGGAAACATGGAGATACTTAAAAGAAGAGCTAAAAACTGCAACAAAGATATATAATTGTGATCACTGACAATTATAATAAACGCAAATAGAATAGAGCAATGAATTACTAGAGAAACATCAATATACTGGCATTTCTAACAAATTAAAAATAAGTCAATAGTCATAAAATACAAAGTGAGGAAAAAATGAGAAAGTGAATGATGTAATGGAGAGATAGAAGAGCAGATGGGTGACAGGTGCAGGAGACTGAAAAAGCCAATAACAAATCTAGACAAGAAAAAGGGCTGAGATCAGGGTTACGAATCCTTAAAGGTGCAACTCAACTTTTCTAGTGGAGGGTCTGCTAACCGCTTGTCTCAATGGAGATATTATTGCATTAAAGGTGAATTGTGTAACTTTTGTAGTGGTTTTCTGTCATAATAGCCAGGCTGGTGCCACCTACTGCAATTTCATTTCTCTCCAGCGACTAGGTCAGGAATCAGAATACACTAAATGGTTCGCAAAAACCCCAGAAGTGCAAGTTCGGCCACCAGCCAATCAGTGAAGAGCCATATATTCTGTGTTGGCAACGATTCCCGAGCTCGAGGATTTAAAGCTGGAACAAAGAGAATGTTTGGTGAATTTTATCAAGGGGAAAGACAACTAAGTGAAACTGGCTGATGAATCAGGCTACTGTCATAAGGCTGTGCAATTAATCGAATTTTGATCGCAATTTCGATTTCTGTGTCAAACGATCTCCAAACTCATATAATCGGGTTTAAATGACTTAAAGCTTAACAAAGTTTATTTTAGGATATTTTTTTATATAAATAAGTATAGAGATTGTAGAACAGCTGGATATATAGCTTATTTTGGATACATTTTCTAGGCCTTATTTCATGTTCAAAGTATATTTTATTAATTTTATGTTTTATACATCACAAAACTGCTCAAAAGTGCATGTTTGTAGCTTATATTTATTCTCATTTTAAAAGTTTTGCATCAGTAACAAAGTGTTTTGGCTTTTTTGAGAGAGAAATGCTGAATAAATGCATCGTGTAACTAAAAAAATAATAATTTGAATAATCATAATTTTAATATTGACCAAAAATAATCGTGATAATGATTATTTCCACTGTTGAGACGGGCTGGGAGGTGTGCCCATGTAGACCGTCAGGTGACTGCAGGCTAAAGGACCGGTGCAGAGCACCGCCCCGCATGGAGGAAGTCACCCAATCGCACTTTGCGGACACTCTGCTCCACAGGCTCGGGGTTCTCTCTCTCCTGGTTTAGACCTGGTTTAGACCTGATTTAGGCCTGATTTAGTCCTGGTTTAGACCTGGTTTGATCCTGGTTTCGTCCTGATTTAGTCCTGGTTTCGTCCTGGTATGATCCTGGTGTAGTCTTGATGTAGTCCTGGTGTACTCCTGGTGTACTCCTGGTGCAGTCCTGGTGTAGTCCTGGTTTAGTCCTGACCCACCCGTAATATTCCAGAATGTAAAAACCTGCCTGTTTCAGCAACTATTTGCCTGTACCCGGTGCAGGACTCTGACACAGTGCACCATCAATGTTTGTGTAATACCAAAACCAAGATCAAACTGCCGTACCTCATCATTTTCGATCTGTAGAGTGGAAAGACGAGACTGGAGCTGCTGACATCTCTGGAGCAGTTCACCTTCAAGAGGCTGCTGGGCACATACCACTCCCACCTGTTTCAAAATCACATGCCAAATTAACAAAACACACAATCAGAGCTTTAAAAGACTCAAACTCAATAATCAGACAATACAGAGCCATACAATGTACAATAAGAAGTTCACTTTGTTAGATTCTCAAGGCAAAGCAAATCTGCAGTTTAGAAATCATTTGTGCTGCATTTTTTTGGAGGAAAGACATTTTTCATGGGTCAGTAAAGCATTTTAGTTTTGAGTTATTTGATTTGGCTTTGGATTTTACAACAGTTGCCCAGAAAAGAAACTAGAACAGGTTTCCTCCATATGATAAAATGAAAACATGCACAGTGGGCCCAGCCAACAAAAACTACAATTCTAAGTTCAAAAAGTTCTGGGTTTAAATTCTGGGAAAATTATTTTTTAGGGAATTGTTTTAGTTAGTAGAAGCAGAAGAAGTAGTAGTAATAGCAGCAGCAGTAGAAGCAGTAGTAGTAGTAGCAGTAGAAGCAGTAGAAGTAGTAAAAGCTGTAGGGGTAGTAGTAGTATTGGTAGCAGTAGCAGCAGTAGTAGCAGTTGCAATAGCAGAAGTAGTAGTAACAGCAGTAGTAGTAGTAGTAGTAGTAGTAGTAGAAGTGGTAAAAGCAGTAGTAGTAGTAGTAATAGTAGTAGTAGTAGTAGTAGTAGTAGTAGTAGTATTGGTAGCAGTAGCAGCAGTAGTAGCAGTTGCAATAGCAATAGTAGTAGTAGTAGTAGTAGTAGAAGCAGCAGCAGCAGCAGCAGCAGCAGCAGCAGCAGCAGCAGCAGTAGTAGTAGTAGTAGTAGTAGTAGTAGTAGTAGTAGTAGTAGTAGTAGTAGTAGTAGTAGTAGTAGTAGCAGCAGCAGCAGCAGCAGTAGCAGTAGCAGTAGAAGCTGTAGAAGTAGTAAAAGCAGTAGGAGTAGTAGTAGTATTGGTAGCAGTAGCAGCAGTAGTAGCAGTTGCAATAGTAGTAGTAGTAGTAGTAGAAGCAGCAGCAGCAGCAGCAGCAGCAGCAGCAGTAGTAGTAGTAGTAGTAGTAGTAGTAGAAGTAGAAGTAGAAGTAGTAGTAAAAGTAGCAAAAGCAGAATAGTAGAAGCAGTAGTAGTAGTAGTAATAGTAATATTTCACAGTAGTAGCAGTAACAGTAGAAGTAATAAAAGCAGTAGTAGTAGTAATAAAAGCAGAAGTAGCAGAAGTAGCAGTAGTAGTAGTGGTAGTAGTAGTGGTAGTAGTAGTGGTAGTAGTAGTGGTAGTAGTAGTAGTAGTACCGAGTCTCCCATATGTGACTGGAAGTCAAACTTGGCTGGTGGACAGAACACGTTGTTGTAGGTCTCCATCAGTTTCTGCTTGTCTCCGTTGGGCTCCAGACTCTCAGTGGCGCCCTCTAACGCCTCAAGGCCGGTGTGTTTCGACGCCTCCACGTTCTGCTCGGCCGATAAGTACGTCCTGAGCGCGCGGTTCAGACTGGCGTGGTATCCCAGGTCACAGCACTGGAACAAGCAACGCAAAAATATGGAAAATAATTAAAGATTTATAGATGTCAACTAAAAACAAATTGTAGAATAGGGAGCAGAGCTCAAGAGCAGCTCAAGTAAACAGGAAATGTATGGTTTACAACGAACTATAATCTCACAAAAATTGCCACAAGATTGAGCACACATGAGAAAAATGATCTCGTGAGATTTTTTCCCCCTTGAATTTAGACATAAAAGAGTAAAGAGCTGGTGAGTACTACAATCTGAGAAGCTGTAAAAGCAGTACTACAATGACCACTAAAGAAACGTGTGTGACGCCACATTTCTTAGCTGTAGTTAATAGTAGTAGTAGTAGTAGCAGAAGCAGTAGTAGCAGTAGTAGCAGAAGCAGTAGTAGCAGTAGTAGTAGTAGCAGCAGTAGTAGTAGCAGCAGTAGAACCAGTAGGAGTAGTAGTAGCAACAGCGGCAGTGGCAGCAGTAGTATTACTAACAGCAGTAGTAGTAGTAGTAGCAGAAGCAGCCACAGTAGTAGTAGTAGTAGTTGTAGTAGTAGCAGAAGCAGCAGGAGTAGTAGTAGTAGAAAAAGCAGTAGGAGTAATAGTAGCAGCGGCAGCAGTAGTAGCAGATGCAGTAGCAGTAGTAGTAGCAACAGCAGTAGTAGTAGTAGAAGCAGCAGTAGTAGCAGTTGCAGTGGCAGCAGCAGTAATAGTAGTAGTACCAAAAGCAGCAGTAACAGCAGTAGTGGTAAATTCAGTAGTAGAAGTAATAGTAGTAATAGTAGTAGTAGTAGCAGTAGGAGTAGTAGGAGTAGTAGTAGCGGCAGCAGTAGTAGCAATTGCAGTAGCAGTAGTGGTAGTAACAGCAGTAATAGTAGTAGTAGCAAAAGCAGCAGCAGCAGTAGTAGTAGTAGTAGTAATAATAGCAGTAATAGTAGTTGCAGTGGCAGCAGTAGTAGCAGTAGTAGCAGAAGCAGAAGCAGAAGCAGTAGTAGTAGTAGTAGTAGTAGTAGTAGTAGTAGTAGTAGTAGTAGCAGTAGCAGTTGCAGTAGCAGTAGTATTAGTTACAACAGTACTAGTAGCAGAAGCAGCAGCAGTAATAGTAGTAGTAGTAGTAGTAGTAGTAATAGAAGCAGTCGTGGCAGTTGCAGTTGCATTAGTTGTCGTAGTAGTAACAGCAGTATTAGTAGTAGCAGAAGCAGTAGGAGTAGTAATAATACCAGTAGTAGTAGTAGTAGTAAAAGCAGTAGTAGTAGCAGCAGAAAAATCAGCAGAAGTACTAGTAGCAGCAGTAGTAGTAGTAGTAGAAGCAGTAGGAGTAGTAGTAGCTAAAATATTATAAACACATGTATCGAGTCAGCAATTTGGTATACTATCCCAGTATTACAAAATAACTTTACTTAATTTACAATAGTATTTCCGAGGCAAAAGAAATAAAAAAAATACATAAATGATCTCCAAGTCCTGACATTATATTAGTAGATATTTGCACTCACGTCGATGATGTCGGAAAGGTCGTGGATGTAGTACTTAAACACACAGCTGTTGGTTGCCTCCAGAGCCAGAAGATACTCATTACGAGCTTTGATGGCCTTCAGCTTGTTCTCCGTGTACTTGGCCTGTCTCTGTTATGGGGAAAAAGAGAGAAAAAGTTATTTAAAAGTCCTATAGTGCACAAAATGGTCTGTGTTTTGTTTCAGTCACATGTTTGAGTAACCCTTTATTATCAGTCTGTTTATATCTCCAAAGCTCAAAATGCCCTGTTTAACTTTGTGATGTCATGCAGTGATGGTTTTCAAGTTAAAATTCCAAGACTAAAATTATCCAAATGCTTCCAATGAGTTTAAAAATCACAGTACACGAAGGTGGAAAAAAAGAATGTTTTCAGTTTGCGAGAAGAACTCAGCTTAAATATGCAGGGTTTGTGTGTTCAACATGTGTGAATGAAACAAAACACAACTCCGGGTGTATTTGTGATGAGGAAACTACATTATAAAATAGAACAGAAATAGCAAAATATGGGCTTTTTTTTGGGACAAATACTGTGATTATATTTGTAATCTATTTTAAGATCTGATCTCAATCACAATACTTGTGATAGGGTTCAGTTCAGAGTGCACATTATAAAAGGAGCATTAACAATTGACAGAAGACTGAACTGCTACACTAATACAAAAAAACCCAAAGAATTTTAGAAAATTAGAGAACATTTAGAGGTTTAAACTACTGGTACAGCAAGATTTTGTTTAATAAGACACAGGATAGACTTGTCAAAGAACACTTGGAAAAACATAACTTTTCAAAAACTTGGTTTAAAGTCCAATATTATGCAAACTGTAATACTTCTGTGAGCCTTGAGCCGTGTTAGAATGTTTTTTACACATCAGTAACAGACCTGGAGTTGTGTTCTGTTTTACACATGTTTGAGTAACTCTGCATTGTTATCAGTCTACATCTCAAAAGGCTCTGCTCCACCTTGTGATGTCATGACACTGTAGCTTTCATTTTAACAGCTACTTTTTTACCTTTAGTTCAGTAGAGATTGGAAATTCCGGGACTAAAATGATCCAAATTCTTCCAGTGAGTTTAAAAACACAGTACACAAAGGTGGAAAAAAGAGAGTGTGAGACAAACTCAGCTTAAATATGCAGGATTTGTGTGTTCAACATGTGTGAATGAAACAAAACCCAACTCCGAGTATGTTTGTGATGAGAAAACAACATTATAAAATAGAACAGAAATAGTGAAATATGTTTTTTTTTTGGACAAGTACTGTGATTGTGATTATATTTGCAATCTATTTTAAACATCACAGATCTAATCACAATCACAATGCTTGTAGTAGGATTCTGTTCAGAGTGCAAATTATAAAAAGGAGCATTAACAATTGACAGAAGACTGAACTGCTACAATTTTAGAACATGTTTGCAGAGGTCTAAACTACTGGTATGGCAAGATTTAGTTTAATAAGACACAGGATAGACTTGTCAAAGAACACTTAAAAAAGAACATAACATTTCAAAAACTTGGCTTAAAGTCCTATATTAGGCAAACTGTAATACTTCTGTGAGCTTTTCGCCGTGTTAAAATGTTTTTCACACATCAGTAACAGACCCGGAGTTGTGTTTTGTTTTACACATGTTTGAGTAACTCTGCATTGTTCAGGGTATCCCCGACTACCCCAAGACTTTTTAAGACCACTTAAATGAAAATTAAGACCAACATCGCAGCCATTATGAAAAACACCAGGTCTAATTCTAATAATGACCTACCAACTCCCGGTACTATAGAATCTAAGGCTACGTTTATATGATGACGGTCCAAACAGAAGACACAAAAGTGGCGTAGCGTCTTCACTTTTTATTCCACGTTTAGACGGGCGTTTTTGGGAGGAAATCTGCGTGCATACAGTGATGCAAAAGTGTGTGGAATTGGATTGTGTATGCATGTCAGGCGGCTCGGCGGTGACGCTGGGTGGTGATGTATGTGACGTAAACGTGTACGTGATGTGAGCAGATCTGACCAGAGTTTTGCGTCTTGGGCAGTGTAGACGGAACTGATTGTTTACTCATTGCCGCCGGCGCCAAAAACCAAAGTATTGTTTGTGCATACTCCAAATTAGACCTATCACGTTGTTGTTGTTTTTTCCTCCTTCCATTTAACGTTGCACTGCAGCCCGGTTGAGTAAACAAAAAAATTGGCTAATGAAATGTAAGACCTTTGTGAAAAAAATAACACTTAGACAACATAATTTAAGACTTTTTAAGGCCTTAATTTAGGAACGTGAAATTTAAGACCTTTCTTAAGACTTCTAAGACCCCGCGGCTTCCCTGTTGTTATCTGTCTACATCTCCAAAGCTCAAAATGCTCAGATCCACCTTATGATGTCATGAAACTGTAGCGTTCATTTTAACAGCTCCTTTTACCTTTAGTTCAGTAGGGATAGGAAATTCCAGGGCTGACATGATCCAAATGATTCTGGTGAAAGTGTAGGGAGTTTAAAAAAAAACAATGGAGCACTTCCTGTATTACCAAATGACATCACAAGGTGGCACAGAGTGTTTTCTGTTTAAGAGAAGAGCACAGCCGAAATTTTCAGGGTTTGTATGTTAAACATGTGTGAATGAAACTAAACACAACTCCAGGTCTGTTTGTGATGAGAAACATTATAATAAAATAACACGTCATACACAACCATCGCAAACAGATATAATTTTCTGTTTTGTTTTGGTTCAGATCAGCTCAAATCATAAACACGATTAATCAAAGGAAGAATGTTTCACTATTAATTGTCCCATTATGCTCTCTGTATTGTAAAACCACAATCGAACATACTTAAACAGGGAGAGAAACAGCAGATGTATTGGGATAACAGCAGTATTGATTTTGGATAATAGACTGTGGAGGATCACGTCTCAGGGCTGACCCGGCACTCGGCTCGAATCAGTCAACAAGACACAGGACAAGAGCAGGTCACCATGACAACAGGTGGGGCACATTAAACCTCTTTTTGAAATACTGCCTTGTCCTTTTAAAGATCAAATCCACTTTATTTCTATAGGACATTGTGTAAACACGACAGGTTCCAAAGTGCTGAACAAACAAATTAGTACACTAAATGACAGGAAATCATAAAAACAATAAATAAAAAGTGTTAAAATGCTTAAAGCTAAGAATGATAAAAAAACTGAATAAAGCAGAATAAATAAATCAAATTACCACACAACTTACGTGGTGTTAAAAGTCAGAGAGTAAAAGTGGGTCTTAAGACGGGAATTAAAGGGCCCATCTCATGGAGCACTTTGGAAACAGTTTTGTTTATGAAATGTGCTATATCCTCCTGGGACCTGAAGAAAAAGTGTATTGCAATATATATTTTTTGTGATTTTTCTATCTATTTGGAGGTAAATGAACACCTTAGCATTTAGATTTTGTTAATTTTATTTTTATTTATAATTTTGTAATATGTCCTCACTAATGGACGCCTGGGAGGTTTTGGTGTTAAATCCAACCTTTGTTAGGCTGGATCAACTTTTTGATGACAAACATCTTTGACAAGCTTCTACAGTCACCTCAAAACATTTTTAGACTCCTTTTTAATTTCTTAGTGTATATTAAACTGCACCAAACGAAACACAACAGTTGGATGGGTCAGTGGGACTTTGTTTGGTGCGTTCACGGTGACTCTGGGCTTTGTTCAGTTGTGGCGTGTAGGGAGGGTGCTGTCTGGGACCAACGGATTGTTGGCGTGTTCGCAGTGACTCAGTTGTTCAGTTGTGTCTAGAAGTGACACATTGCGCTCGCCTTTTCGGTTCGTTCCTCCATTCCGTTCCTCGTCCGCGTGGAGTGATGAGTGTGTCTGCGGGTGTTTTTTGGCGTGCGGTCGCTGTCTGCTCAGTACGTGTGTGTGCGCAGTGGGTGGTGCAGCTTGTGGATTCCGAGTGGATTCGTGTATAGGGCGCTCTGGATTGTTGGGTGCGCAGTCATTTTTTGATGGGGTTGGCGGTATAAGAGCGCACCCAGTAGCACGGAAAATACGGTAACTAGTTTTTCTTTTTTTTTTTTTTAATCCTAGACATGATTGTACCCTATAATCCTACAGCCCTATTTAGGCAGAGGAACCTAGTCCCCCCATTAAGAGTCTGAAATCTCAAAACACTTAAAAGATAAACTGGTTAAATCATTATCCACTATAAAGGACACAAATGAATGGACCGGGTCTCAGGAGGATATAAATAAAGTGGATTGGACTGGACTGTAGACTCCATCGAAAAGATCCAAGCTGATCCATGACAAGTAGACATAACTCCAGAAACATAAAAATATCCCGTCTTATTCTGTATAAAAACTGCTAACTCTGTAGTTTAGATTTGCACAAACAAATGTCAGTTCATATTTCAGTCTTTTGGAAATCTTCTGGATATGTTTAAAACATGAACTTTGAACAGAATATGAATTGCAAATCAAATTGCAATTCAAAACACAATTCGATTTTTCCCCCAAATCGTGCAGCCCTCATGTATACTTATACTGTTTCCTGACCTTCTCCTTCATCTTCTCAATCTTCTTGACACTGGAGCGTCTCACTGGTTTGTCCTCAGACTTGATGGAGGACAGAGTGTCTGGAGAGCGCGGGGTTTGTTTCTCTGATCGGCCCATCTGCTTCTCCTCCTGCTTCTCTGCCTCCTTCAGCTTCGACTCTGCGTTCATGCTGTCTGTGTTGTACATGTGGTAGGTCTTCATCACCTGCAAACACAAACAACACACTTTTCATCAAGTTCATTTCAGCTCTTAGAGGTTATTGCTCTATGCCAGTGGTTGTGGTAAAAAAAAAAAAAAAAAAGGGAAATTGAATTGTTTTGACTATAAATATGTGAATTTTTCATCTCAAACATTTTGAATAAGAGAATACAAATATAATTGACAATTTTCTACATTAAACCAATTTATTTACCTATTACCCATTAATAGCGGGAATAACTTGGTTAAAATTAAGTTTAAATAAAGAATAAATAAGCCTTTTTTTGGCATTAATAATAGAAAGTCTAAAAGATAATTATGGATGGTACAAAATCTCGAACCACAACATCTTTGGATTGGACAAAAAATTTTTACATGTTGGTATGATATCTATTACAGTTCCAAAAAGCAGGACTAGAATGGAAACAAAATGATTAAATCAAGAAAATAAAACATTGTGAGGCCAAAATTGGAAACTGAATCAAGAAAACTATATATTATGAATTATGTTAAAATCTCGTCTTGCCTCGTTCTTGTGGACCCAATCTCGTATCTCGTCTCAACTTTTTGCGTCTTGTCATATCTTTAATACCGTAAATTCTGGACTATTGAGCGCACCTGAATACACACCGCATCAACTACATTTTTACAAAATTTTTAAATTGCACATCTATAGGCCACACCGAATATAAACCGCAGGAGTCCAGGTCTTCAAGAACGTTTTCAAGTTGGGGCCGTTTGCTTTTATCGCCTCTAGAAGCTTCAGTCATCTTTTTGCACTGAGTCAGTTTGTCACGCTGCCATCGCCAAAATCTCACCATCGACTCACTGATGTCAAGCGCACGTGCAGCAGCTCTATTTCCTTCTTCAACAGACAAATCAATTGTTTAAGCTGCATCATCTGCATTTATTCGTGTGCTTTCCATGAGGAGGGTGTGTGTATGAAGCGCAAAATAACTGTTCAAAACTCAATCAAACTAGAATCTTACTCGGCGCATCACCCCCGTCTCACCTCTGCGCATGTCTCCTGCAGAAAGAGTCTCTGTTCCGTCTGTATCATGTCAGGGTCTTGGAGGATTTCAGCAGATTTCAAACTCTCTCGGGGAAGGGGCTAGTTTTATCAGTCAGGTATGAGTGGATGTCCGACTACTGAAGTTTGAGAGGTTTCTTTTCGTCATTTACACACACAGGTAAGACATATCCCCCTCACTAATGTTCATTTAACATCATAACTTATTTTATCACACGGCAATAAACTATTTGAGTGCACTGATCCATGTTTAACTGCACAGACAGTGGCATTTTCTGCTCTCAGGCTGTGTGTATCCTCTGTGTTGCCAAACCATAGACCGTATAAGTGAATGGACAATGTGCCAAACAAAGAATCCGTCCATATATTCACCGCATCGTTTTATTAGCCGCAGGGTTCAAAGTGTGAGAAAAAAGTAGCAGCTTATAGTCCAGAATTTACGGTAATTATATTATTAATCGCAAAGTGTTGACTATTATTTTAATTAGTAACAATGATTACATTCAGTTCATATAATAAAGGTGCATTTTACCACAAGAGAATTGCATCTGATCATTTACAATGCAAGTCATCATCTCTTAAATGACATTTGAAACATTTCATTTCACAATTTGTACAAAAATGAATGAAGTATTAGGAGCTGGAAATGACTGATAGTTTTAGTAAGTTTGACAGCACTACCATCATGAATTAGCCATGTGGCCATAAGGTTTTGTTTAATACATTTAGCCATTACATACAGAGTTTATACTTAACTGTGTCAAACTGGAGCGTGAATTGAAAGTTTAAATAAACATGAAGTCATTTTGGACCACAACATGGCCTCTGGTCTATTACACAAACAACCTCTTAATCTCAAGTTCAAGTGGAGCTTACTCAAACCTAAACACACTTTGAGCACTTGTGTATCCTTATGTCACTTACTCAGTACAACTCAAACATTCACCTCTCTCCTCTCTCCAGATTTGCTTATTCAGCTTGATTTTATAACCACAACCTTTAGATCCATCATTATACACGACCAGTCAAGAGTCTGGACACACCAGCTCAGTCGTGTTGGTTTTCTTTATGCTCACTTCTTTCTACATTTTACATACATACGTACATACAGACACAAAATATTTTATGCAAGATGACATTTTGGTATAATGTGTAGATTTTTGTTGTATTAAGTAGCCCCTTCTTATAAAAAAAGAAAAGACAGAGCGCTTCTCCCTCGCAAATAACCATCTGTATATCTCCAATCGAGCACCTGTTTTTAAAAACTCTTATATTTTTATCGACCTATGAAGCACTCTCTATACTTTTTACACTTGATAAAAAATATGAGGCAAGATTTATGGAATTATGTAGCAAAGAAAAAAGTTAAATAAAAAATGTGCATTCAATAATACTTTTTATTTTATTTTATTTTTTTTTAGATTCAAATGCCCTTTGCTTTGTCTACAGCTCTACAAAGTCTCCTGAAATGGTTTTCATTTCACAGCTGTGCCATGTCTGGGTCAAGAAATGCCAAAAATGCAACGAGGCGATCAAAGCAAAGGTGGCTATTTTGAATCCATGTATCATTCGTTCATTCGTTTTTCAGTATAAAGCCAAAAATAAGAAAACGAAAAAAAAAAACAAACTATTTTTTTCATTATTTGTCTCTAAAACCAAAATGAAAAAACAGATAATGATTTGTTTTTTCAGTTTTTGTTTTTGTGTTTAAATGAATCATGGAAAAAACAGATAACAGCCATTTCCAGTTTCCGTGACGTAAACCGTGATGCCAGACAGAACCAGGATTAAACCAGGACTAAATCAGGTCCGGGAACAGACCGGAACCAGCCCAGACTGAGACCATGGCTTAGACTGGGAACAGGACCGGGACTGAGGCCGGGACTGAGGCCGGGACTGAGGCCGGGACTGAGGCCGGGACCAGACTGTGATTGAGACCGGGACTGAGACCGGGACTAAGACCGGGACCAGACCAGAACTGAGACCAGGACTGAGACCAGGAACAAGACTGGGAACAGGACCAGGCTTAAGACCGGGACCAGACCAGGACTGAAAACAGTTTATTCCTGGTTTATTCCTGGTTTATGCCTGGTTTATGCCTGGTTTAGACCTAGTTCAGACCTGGTTCAGACCTGTTCTAGTCCTGGTTCAGTCCGGCATTGCAGTTTAAATCACATAAAAGGGAAACGGCTGTTATCTGTTTTTTCCATTATTCTTTTAAACACAAAATTAAACTGAAAAAACGAATCATTATCCATTTTTTCATTTTGGTTTTGGAGACAAATAATGAAGAAAACTGTTGTTTTTTTCTTATTTTTGGATTTATTTTGAAAAACAGATAAACGAATGATACATGGATTATTTTGAATCTAAAATCTAAAAGCAGTTCTGAGTTATTTATTTTTCGTTTACTACCTTCCATATGTGTACCAGTCAAAGTTTTGGTGCTTTCAGTGAGAATCTACAATGTAAAAAGAAAGCGTCCAAACTTGTGACTAGTAGTGTAATTGTATTTCCTTACTCAGCCTTATTTTGCAACCCCAACTTTCAGATCTATCATTAACCATCACTTTCCAAATTCCCCCCTTTTAAAAAACTACAAATCTTTGGCGTTTGAACAAGTATAAGCTTAAAAACCAATTCTATTTCTATCTCTCTATATGCTGTAATTACCGGGTTTCGCTTTTACGGCTCTGGGCTGTGTTGAATCATTACATAGTAGGAAACTTAACCCACTTCTGCAGACTGCGATTACCTCACAACTTGGCAGGATTTTAAATATGCAACGCGATACTACGAGGCCCAAAGCAATACAGGAGTAAAGAAGACAAATCGCTTATTAAAAGGTACGAAAATATTTTGGTTTATGATTGAGGGGAATGCCAGTGAAGTTTACGAGATTTTTTTGAGAATTGTAGTAAAAAGAAAGGAAGTCTTACCGTGTACAGTTCATTCATAACTTTCATGAGGTCCTCTTGAAGCTGGATGCCCACTTCTTTGCTCTGGAAAACAAAAAATGTAGAGATGTAAAAGACGTGTTGAGCAGCACGAAACTTTAAAAGAAAGTGAATTCTTATGAAGAGGCTGTATTTGGATTTTAGATTTCTCTTTACAAATCTATAATAGAAGTGGATGTAATGAAACTGTGCTGAAGTAATAGGAAGTTTACTTTAAAAATAAGGTTTAATATTTACGAAGCCTGTTTGAGTCCAGGTCGAGTCCTGGTCTAGTTGTGGTCTAGTCCTGGTCTAGTTGTGTCCTGGTCTAGTCCTGGCCTAGTCCTGGTCCAGTCCTGGTCTAGTGCTGGTTGAGTCCAGGTTTAGTCCAGGTTTAGTCCAGGTTTAGTCCAGGTTTAGTGCAAGTTAAGTACAGGTTGAGTGCTGGTTTAGTCCAGGTTCAGGCTGGATTTTATCAAGATTTTATCCTGGTTTTGTTGTGGCATCATCTTGGGTATTACCTGGTTTAGTTCTGGTTTAGTCCTGGTGTATAATTGGTTTAGCCCTGGTCTAGTCCAGGTTTAGTGTTGTCTGAATCCAGTTTGAGTCCGGCTTGAGTCCGGCTTGAGTCCGGCTTGAGTCCGGCTTGAGTCCGGCTTGAGTCCGGCTTGAGTCCGGCTTGAGTCCGGTTGAGTCTTGAGTCCAGGTCGAGTGCTAGTTTAGACTGGATTTTATGAGGATTTTATCCTGGTTTTGTCGTGGCTTCATCCAGGGTATTGCCTGGTTTAGTTCTGGTTTAGTCCTGATGTATAACTGGTTTAGTCCAGGCCGAGTCCAGGCCGAGTCCAGGCCGAGTCCAGGCCGAGTCCAGGCCGAGTCCAGGCCGAGTCCAGGCCGAGTCCAAGTGGAGACCAGGTGGAGACCAGGTGGAGTCCAGGTGGAGTCCAGGTGGAGTCCAGGTGGAGTCCAGGTCTACTCCAAGTGGAGTCCAGGTCGAGTCCAGGTCGAGTCCAGGTCGAGTCCAGGTCGAGTCCAGGTCGAGTCCAGGTTAAGATTGGATTTTATGAGGATTTTACCATGGTTTTGTTGTGGCTTCATCCTGGGTATTACCTGGTTTAGTCCTAGTTTAATCCTGATTTATAATTGGTTCAGCCCTTGTTGAGTCCTGGGTTAGTCCTAGTCTAGTCTGGGTTTAGTGCTGGTTGAGTCCTGGTCGAGCCTGGTAGAGTCTTGTTCTGATTTTATCCTGGTTTTGTTGAAGTTCTGGGTATTGCCTGGTTCAGTTCTGGTTTAGTCCTAGTTTGGTCCTGGTTTAATCCTGGTTTAGTCCTGGTTCTCAGGCGGTCATTTCTCTCGTAGTGTGTGTGTGTTTAGTGTTTAGTGTGAACTATCATTACACATGTGTCCATCAGGGCTCCATCATCTGTATCCACTGAAGTGTGTAGTCAACAAACTGTCACCTCATCCATCAGAAAGAGAGAGGGAGGAAGAGAGGAGGAGGAGGAGGCGGGAGGGAGGGAGAAAGAGAGAGATGAAAAGACAGAGAGAGGAGACAGGCTGAGAGAGAGAAAGAGAGAGAAAGAGTGAGAGTGGGGGGTGTTGCCAAAGGAAGAGAGGGAAAAATTGAGGAAATGGCGACTGGAAAGGAGAGAGGGAGAAAGAAAGAAGGAGGGAAACAAGAGAAGAAAGATATAAAGAGATAGGAAGAGAGAAGGGAAAAAGAAAAAAGAGACAGAAATGAATGAGACAGGAAGGAAGAGAGGGGAAAGGGAGAGAGGGAGGACTGAGACTGAGAGAGGAGAAAGAGAAAGACAGAAGAGGGAGAGAAAAGAAGAGAGAGATAGAGTTAAGTGAGTAATTGGAGAGATGGAGGACGGGCTAAGATAAATGAACTGTGGGTAATGGAGTTTAATGGAGGAGCAGTGATCAGGAGCCGACAGGGGCAACTGACAGGAGCAGACAGGAGCTAAAGACCAAGAGAGCATGATGACACACACACACTCACACACACACACACACACACACACAGCTAAGTGAACAGAACAAACAACCATCAAACACGTGTCATATTTCACATTAGCATTAACGTTCTCGCTTTTAATGTCGCTGTCTATTACAGAGGGAGGGACGCTTATGAAATTAGGGCAGGGAATGTGTCAAATATTCTAATTACAACTTACTTTATTAATGCCGGTATTGATTGTGCAAACTCATGTCGCCTATTCTCTTCTAATTGTGTTTTGGTTTCCCACCTCATTATCTCATTAAAAAGCAGATCGAGCTTCCAAATAAGACGCTTCTTCACTAGAGGTTAGGGATGGGCATGATTAATCAATTAATCGATAATTGATCATTAAGAATTTCATCGATTACTTTAATTTTAATCGACAAACCGCATGTAGGTTGCTGTGTGTAGCGTGACCAAACAGGGGTCCGTACATGTAGCTCTCTGCACTCAGAAGGAGCGAGACACAAACAGTCGGTCAGTCTGCAACGTACCGAAGCACAAATGCGTATTTAACGAATGACTTGTACAAGAAATTCCACGCTTTCCATTCCGTTCGGGACAAGTGGGAGTCCATGTGCACAGTGTACAAAGCAGGAACATATGTTTCAGTGTCCAGTGGGAAAAAGCTTTACCATGTGAGAGAAGCGCAATGTCGATGACGAGTCCCCACCTCCCTCCCCCCGTACGGTGTCCTGGTTTTGACAAACGCAAATATGGTCACACTAACCTGTATTCCACTGAATCATGTCTTTTAATCCGACAGAAATTGACCGCATCAGCGACACAAGAGCTGTAGTTTTATCTTCGCTGAGTTTATGCAAATTAGCGATGCGGTTTTAAGTTTCGTTTCTGTGAAAGTTGCTCAAAACTGAATTAAACACATTATAATGTCAAACGGATTGATGTGGCTCTAGAGCCGTTACGGTTTATATGTCGTAAAGTTGAATTTATTTATGCAGATTAGTAGTGCAGATAGTAATAATAATGATGATCATTTTAATATAAAAACGTTAATGATTAATCGATAATTGATCGTTAATTCTTCTGACGATCGATTAAGAAAATTTCATCGAATGCCCATCCCTACTAGAGGTGTAACGACAGTATGAAACTCATGGTACGACATTTTTTGCTCACGATATGGTGGGGAGGCTCATGATTAGAGATGTAACAATATCCAAATCTCACAGTAGGATGTTTTCACGATATACATTTCAAGGTAAGATATTTATTGCGATGTTTTGTGGAGGCTGACAAAATTGTTAATATTGATACTTTTTCCTCTTAAATTGCCTTGACAAGATTTGACAAAGACATGAAAGTACTTAGAACTGTTATTTCGTGTATCATTTGTTCATTCGTTTTTCAAAATAAAGCCAAAAATAAGAAAACAAAAAAAACAATTTGTCTCCAAAACCAAAATGAAAAAATGGATAACGATTTTGTTTTTTTCAGTTTTCGATTTTGTGTTTAAATCAATAATGGTAAAAACAGAAAACAGCTGTTTCCCTGTTTTTGTGACTTAAACTGAGAACCAGCTCTAAACCAGGACTAAACCAGGACCAAACTAGAACTGAACCAGGACTAAACCAGGAATGAACCAGGAGTGTGGGGACGGGCTTGAACGTGTGCCTGCGTAGACTCTTGGGTGATCAGGAAACCGGGACCAAACTGGGACTGAGACCGGGACTGGTTTAGTCCTGGTTCAATTCTGGTTTATAGCTGGTTTACACTTGTTCAGTCCTGTTTTAGTCCTGTTTTAGTCCTGTTTTAGTCCTGTTTTAGTCCTGTTTTAGTCTTGGTTTAGTCTTGGTTTAGTCTTGGTTTAGTCCTGGTTTAGTCCTGGTTTAGTCCTGGTTTAGTTCTGGTACAGTCCGTATGCGGCGCAAAAGGCATCCGGAATTGAAGTTTAAATTACGGAAACGGGAAACGGCCGTTATCTGTTTTTTCCATTATTCATTTAATTAATTAATTATTAATTAATTTATTTATTTATTTATTTATTCAGTTTATTGTTACATCCTTATTCTTCACCTAACACTGAAGCACATAAGATTTTCTTGGCAGAGGTTATGAAAAAACATCTGACGGCTAAGGGGAGTTGCGCCGATACAACTTTTTCATTTCCGATACCGATTCCCTATACTATAGCTTTAAGTATCTGCTAATACCAGATATCAGCCGATGTCAGAGCAGAGACTAAAAACAGCATTTATTTCCTTAAAACAAAAATAATATAAGAAATTGATCCAGATGTGTTGTGTAACTTATTACATCAATGTTCAACCAGGATATTGGCTGAACCAACAATATGGAAGCTGATAGTCGATGAAGCAAATTGTTTCCGCTGATATCACTACTGCAAAACCCCGTCATTATCTAATTATAAACATTTTTAGGAAACTTGGAAGAAAGGTCCATGTGAGTCACTCATGAGAGCTGATTGGCTGTGCAAAGGTCATCCACCCTGCTTCACTTTTGCTCTAAAAGGGTTTGTGTGTGCGAGGGAACAAGTAGGATAGATTTAAATATCTACTTTTTCTTAGTGTTGTCATGATACAAAAATTTCAAAGTAGATTTAGAAACTAAGGAATAGGGGTGTGCAAAATATTGAAGTATTGATGTATCGCAGGGGTCTCCAACATTTTTCCTCTGGTGAGCTACCTTTGCAAAACAAAACTGGCAGAGAGCTACTAGCGGTCACAAAAAACTGAGAAAATAGAAGAGCTATAACAAAGCCTTAGATGGAGTACAGTTAAATGTCTATTAAAGATAAACCATTATCCATTTATTAGTGCACAACTCAGGCATGAAAATGACATAGTTACATTGGTAATTAACCCAATTTTAGTGATACATATAATTCAGAAATCGCTTGGTGAACTACTTGGAAGGGAGTGGAGAGCTACTGGTAACTCCTGGGTTACAGGTTGGAGACCCATGAGGCCTCCTGTATCGATATATCGCCAAGAGTATTTTTAGGTATATTGTACTAAATTATTTTGTGTAAGAGCCACTGTACAGTTGTGTTGACATTTTCACTGTTTTGATGAGTAAA